AATTAAGCATTAATATTCTGGTTTAACTTAAGATTTCAAGAGTGTTCAGAATGTTCTATAATGTAAAATAAAATCAAAGCAAAGCCTAGGAATTTTCCTGAAATATTTCCGCTTGATTATACAATAAATTTATAAACTGCAAGCAAATTAATTAAACACTCAAATTGTTATGGACGCAAACATTTAAATTAAAAGAACTTTACTTTTCAAAATTATATTGTTCTTAATCCCTCAATATTTTATTTTTGTTAATGCTTCTCCATTAAATTTAGCTGATTCAATAAAATATCTATTAGAACAAGACCTCACCACTAAAATTATAAAATATTGTAATTAATTTAAGTAAGAGGTTATATTAAAGGAGTAGTAGTAGGTACCTTTTTTAAGAAAGTCCATTTCTGTTTTCTAATTCAAACAATTTTTTTAAAGAAACCTTATATATTAAAGAGGGAGTCTTTATGAACATATAAGACCTAAATAACTTAAGCATCGACTCAATACACCAGCCAAGGTCAAGAGGTGCTCCCGAAAGAGGCAGCAAATGTCTGACCTAAGCCAACTCAGGTCAAAATCTTCCTCGTCTCTGGGCCAAACTCTAATTTATGTCTTTATGGCACATTACATTCAAGACAATTCACTTGCTTTATAACCTGTTGGAGTAAGTCTTTTACGGCCCCATCAGCAAGAGATCAAAGCCAGGCCATGGTAATGACCCAGTTGACTGCGCTGGCAAACCTTTTAGCCGGCCAGCGTCGATTTCATAGCGACATGCATAATTAAAAAGCCGTTACAGGATGTACATGGCTGGGGTTTATGTTTAAATGGCCATGCCGAAAGTTATGGGGCCCCCTCTTAATTGGCCCAAAAACGTTGACAAACAGAAAGGAAAAAAATGTGGCAAACTTTAAGTGCAGAGTTTCGGGCCACGTTCACGTTCATGTTCAATGCCTTTGCCGAGTTGACCTTTCAATCGCCAACGGCCAACTGGCCAATCGACCAACCGAAGATTCTGAGAGAACCAGAAAGCCTTGCCCAAACCAAGTCCGAGTTTCAGCCCAAGCTCAGGCTCAAGGCGGTCAGGTGCATTTATCGCAATTAAACACTTGTTGCTACCAAAGCCAAAGCTGCCACCGCAAAAGCAACGTCTAAGCGTCTAAAACACATCTAACAAGAAGCGAGGCAAGATTAATACGTGTATTACGGCCGGGCCACGATTCGACAATTCAACGATTCCACAATGAGTCGTCGTAGAAAATACATATAAAAAAAAATATATATATATAGCTATGTAGCTAAAGCGATTTGCTTAGAATGCGACAACCGCCGGGCCCCAAATAAAAGCCAAAGTGCTGACCTTGTCAGTGGCTACTAGTCGTACTAACACCACTGCTGCAATCGATTGCACTGCTGAATCTCGAGTGGTTTTCCTTGTGTTTGATTTTTCAATTTTTGCAGCACAAAGCGAGCACACCACTCCACGATACACACACACAAGTACACGGCCGAGGAATGACTTAAATTTGCCTGGAAAACGATCGAAATAAAGTTGATAGAAATAGTCAAGGTGGTGAATACATTGTACATTAAATTGAAATAGTTTTTAAGCCAGGCTAAGCTAAGCTTATAAAGAAATGTATATCATTTGAGCCAAACGAAATATAAATAAGAAAATGGAAGCATCAGCAGAGTTAAACTAAATGAAAATTCAGATATATTTGAATATATATATATTCTCAACGTATTAAAACCATTTTGCCATTACATTATATAATTAAAAGAAATATTTAAGTGCACTGTTTTGGTTAATCTTTTATCAATGGTTCATCATTAGTTAACCAACAGTTAATTTATATCAGCCGTCAGATATATATATATATATTTATATTGTGTATATATATATATTAAGGCGCTTGATAAAATATTAACTTAAAATTAAAATTACAGCAGCACAGATATGCGTTTCGCTAAAAATAATTACACTGTTTAAACGAACATGCAGAATTTAATATATAACTGTTTAAATGCGTGAGAGTTCTAAACATATTTGCCGTGTGCTTAAAGTATTAAATTATTCAAAATGTAACGCACGGAAAAACAGATCACAATTAAGACAAACTAGTAATTGAGAGCACTGTGTGTTTAGTATAACCACACAATTTCCTGTAGAGGTCAACCTTTTGCTTTAATTAAAATTCTACATAAATAGGATTAGAATTCAACCCAAATACAAACAAAAATTATTTAAGAAAATATTTCTAATTAATTGTAAAGTTCTATGAGATTGTATTTATTTACAATTGTATTTATATTGTATTGTATAATGTATTTAGTTACAAATTCTGGTACAATGAAAACACTACTCAACATATCTTGGCCACTAAACAAATGAAATGAAGATGTTCCCAATTAGATTCATGGTCAGGTGGCCGTTGAGTGTGATTTATGCACATTTTACACGCTTTGGCAAATGCTAAACGAAGAGCGTCTTTGGTCGCTTCGAATGCTTTGTCTGCTTTGGCTGCTTTGGCTGCTTATTCGCAGCAGAAACAATATTCGCACATTTATCGATTGCAAATCAATTTCGTGCAATTGCACATCTCACGTAATGCTAGGTGCCCCTCTTGGCCAGGCCGAAACACTCTGGCTCTACCTCTGACTTTGGCTGAGAGCCGAGAGCCGAGTGCCGAGTGCCGAGACCCGTGTGCAATGCATTGCTGCCGGATTACCCCTCGATTAATGCTGCTTGCATACAAATTGGCGCATTTACGTTCGCCTTCACCTGATCGGCTTTTTGAATACAAGGGACCATATCCACAAGATACAGCTGCAGATACAGATACAGATACAGATGCAGATGCAGATACAGATACAGACACGCGCCTGCACTCGTTAGTAAGAGTCTGGGGCAGCGGGCATTTGCTTTCCTTTGGCATTCGCAAGGCAAATCGCAAAGTTGCGTAAACAACAACAAATCGAAAAAGTGCACAAAGTGCGAAATATAAATTACACCGCGATAGATGCATGCAAATGCAGTTTTTGATTTTCGCATGCAAATTGCAAACACTGTCGAACGCTTTAAGTTCCGACGACTGTCTTCCGGCCAATCCCAATCAGTGTGACTGGCCCAGTGCCAGTCAAACTGCAAATCCCATCTCAGTTATATCATCCTCTCGTTGAACAAAAGAAAAAACGGAAAAACGGGCGAAAAACGAAGCGAGGTGACAACATAAGCAGACTTTTCGCGGGATTTGTCAAATATTTGCGCTACGCTGCGCTCTTTCCAAAAAAGAAAACCCAAAAAACCCCAAAAAAAAATAACAAGGATGAGGGACTGAGGGACCCGAAACTGCAGCGTCGGATCCCAAAAACTCTAGATCCAACGAAAACCCACTACCCCACACCTTTTTTATGTGCGCCTTCACGCCTCACGCAAGGCGGGCAAACTTTTATTATTATTTCATTTTTTGCCCCGCCTCGCAAGTTCAAAAAGTTTAATGCTATTTGACTTTGATTCAATGTTTGCATTGTGCCCGGGCACATCATCGATTATTTTCCACTTGACGCCCCTCTTCGGCCCACAGAGCCACCCAAACCTACTCCCACACCCCACCCACCCACGAATCCGAGTTGTTTGTGGTGGACAAATGAAATATGTTTGGCCGAATCAAAAAGCCCTGGCACTGACAATGCCCGGGCACGAGTATTTTGATAAATTGCGAATTAATTGAATTGCTATGACATGAAGTTTAGCACTATTTTTTCGAGCTTTAATTAAAGTGTTGTCGGTCGCTGGGTTTTCCCAGCGCAATTTTAATTGCCGCCCAGTGTGACTTAACATCCTTGAAAGCCATTCATTGTCGGCAGACATAAATCCATTTTTTAAATTCTTTATACTTGGTATAAATATAATCATGACATAAATATTTCATTGCATGCATTTCACTACCATCTAATTATGTTTGTTTAAAGGACTTTACAGTCTCAGCAAAGTCTTTTTTTCTAACTTAAATTTCAACTGTTTACCGTTAAGGACTTTAAAACACGCAAACACAAATAACATTATTTTATTTATTTATTTAAGCTTTCCATAAAACTCTCCAGCGTTGTATATTTCCATGCAACTTAAGTAAATACGGCTTATGGTTTCAACATAATTAATGCCTCGTTATTTCATTGCATGTCAGTTTAGACGTAATAAATATGAATTTTAAAGTTCTAAGGCATTTTACTGAAATCTTTGCAAATGCATATTAATATTTAATTTAAACAAATTAAATACGATCAACCTTTGAACTAAGGTTTTAGTTTTTAATATAAAAATTATAGCATCTTTTATACATAATTGGCTAGATAAAAGTAGTCAAACTCAAGTGCATTATTTAAGTAACAATTAATTTTTGTAAAATATATTGTTTTAAGCCGGTATGAAGCCTTAAAGCAATTGAAAATATTTAATACTCTATATATATGCAACGAAATGTCACAGGTATTTTTTTTATACTTAAATAAGTGACTAACAGTGCTAACAGATAATTTAAATATGGCTCGAATAAAACTTGAGTCTGATCCAGTAACAAATGTTTTTCCCAATCTAATCAATTATTTTTTTGGGTTTGGCCATATGCAAACCCGTTTGAAATACACAAAGACCACGCAGGTAATATAATAATCCAACTGGTGATTATCGATTCTTTGCCTGCCATAACTCGCATTGCAATGGCAAAACAATGAATTATTTCCCAATTGCTTGTGTTTGTGTATAAAATTTGGGAAATTCAATGAAATTTCACACATTTTTTCGTGAATGCCTGTGTGTTAGCTATGAAAAAATGGTTTTGTCGGCCCCTCCTGGATCTGTGGAGCGAATCCAACTCGTTTTGGGTATTTTTTAGAAAGCCACTACAGTTGCCGTGTACGTAATGGCATTTGTCATACGATTACCGTCGAGTGGCGCAGTAATAGAGCAGATTGGCTCTAATCCCATGTAATTCAAGACTCACCGATTTGCTGGCTGCACAGATCCCACGCCCACAGACTCGATGGCGGAGTGGATTTCGACAAATTGTTGGCTAATTACAGGGCCACACGAATCTTCCTCTCTCTCGCACAGGAATATACCAATGTTGCCAATTTCTGTATTTTTTCTCTTTTTTAGAGTGGCCACCACTTTCGAAATATTTTTTTTCCAAATGGTTTTTTACGCGCTTCTCAAAGCGGCACGCAATCTTGCACAAGTGTATAGAAAAGAGGGATTCCAAAATAGTTGCGACAGGTTTGAAAAAACTGGGAGCGCGCCACGATCCGATCCGAATCGATACGAAAACCGAATTAAGTCCCGAGTTGGAAAAATTTATTTCTCGAGACGAGACGAGCGTTACGCGTTCCAGAACCGCGCTGCCAGGCAGACGAAAACAGACTCAGCTCAAACGCGGCTTGCAAAAACCACAACACCTGACGTCGACGGCTCAGCGGCTCAGTGGCTCAGCGGTTCGGTGATTCGGTGGTTCGGCGGTTCGGCGGCTCAGCAGCGGCAGATCAGCGTCGACTGCGACGGCGACTGCAGCGTTTTGTGGGCGGTAAGCGAAGCTCAGCAGCGGCAGCGCCAAAAAAAATTGAGTGGCGCAGTTTGGACTGCGGATTGAAGTATGTAACTAACCGCACCTGAGCATCGGTGTTGGCTAGTGCAAATGTTATTATGTTCCAATTTTATGAAAACGCGTAAAGCCAGAGAGCTGTGAAAAAAGAGATTAACACCGTACCCCACTTGAAAGCTGGTCAGTTGGGTTAAAATGGCGTCTAAAATGCAAGATCCATATTTTCTAAAAATTGGGGCACATGTTTCAGGTAAAATGGTTTTATATATAGAATAAATTAACAACAAAAATACTTTAGGACATCAATGACATTAGATTAAAAAGACAATACAAAAACTTTCAATTGACCTTTTTATATTTTATTGAAAGAATTAATAAATGTCATGTAATTTCGAGCTCTGTGAAGATATGATGTATGAAGAATTTATAGTCAAAGAACCATAATGCTTTCAAAATAACATTAAATTTAAAAGGGCTCTATAGGTTTCTTTAAAATAAATAAATCAATAAACAGGTTATGTAATTTTTAAGCTTTACAAAAATATAAAAAGACTTAAAACCCAAAAAACTTTAAAAATGACATGAAATTTAAAAGGTAAAATTTTAAGCTTTAAAAAATTGTTTTCTTTGATGGCTTTAAACAAATTTTTAAAATATAACCCATACGCAGGGGAGTTCCTAATCTGAAAATGTTGTTTATTTTTAATTGCCCTTTTAATAATCATAAAAATTGTGCACCATTTGGTATATAATTTCATTATATATTCGGCCAGTGAAAACAATTGTTTATTTTACCAACCCTAAGCTAAGTTTTCCACAACTTAAAGTAATTAATTACTTGGCTTGTAGGGTTAATAAGAAGCAATATTGGAGCCTGGACCGCATCTGTAAAATTTGATCTGGCTGACGGGGCTGAACGCACACGGACCTCGGGCTGACTCATCCTCCAGTGCAATCCACATCCGCCCAATCCCAATCGCAATTCCCGGCCCACTTGATATTCCTGCTCCGTTCGCCCGGAGACGTCGTTCGACGTAGTTCGCTCATAAATTTTGCATTTGCTGTGTGATTTTCCTTTTTAGACGCGACAAGGTTTCACTGATTTCGCATATATCCCAGCTATTATAATATATTCGCCAGAGCATTCTATACTCTGTTCTGTTCTTTTTAGCTGCTTTTGCGGTAATCGCAGGTCCGCCATCAATCACGTAATTCCCAGCATGTTTTGTCGCCGATCCCATCTGTATCTCGACGCAGTATCTTCTCACACCAAACAAAGCCAGACGACGCAGAGTCTATAAACCCGAATATATCTCGCATAAATGCTGTACCGACGCGAAACAAAACAAAAGGCCCATTAATGACAAATGCAAAATAACAAAATAATAAAGCAATATTTGCGAATCAGCCATTGCATATTAATGGTGCCCTCATCAAAAGCCACTCAAGTGCACACTTCGACGTTATGATCCGATCTTGTTCAGATCTGTTCAAACACTTGACAATGACATGATTCGCTTTTGATGTTTAATTACTTTATTTTGGAAGCACAATGGATTGCACATTGTTTGATGCCTTAATAAGTACAAAGTGTAAGGCCAGATTTTTGTTGTGTAATTCCCTTTGAATGCTATTTAATTAAATATACAATCTGTCACTTAAAAATAAGACTTGTGGGGATTTTAATTTCATGACTTAAATTTATTGTAGGCGGATGGTTTACAATCACCAAAAAACAGTAAACAGTAAACATGAGACAACACCTTTAAACAAAACTATTTATTTAAAGTAAGAAAGATGAATTTCTCACCAAGGGTCAAATATGAAATAATATATTATTATTGAAAATAAAGCTCGAAATCTGATTTTCACACCTGTCTTTTAACTACATACATACTTAATGCGTTTTTATATTGACTTTTGAAGTTGTTAAACAAGATTCACAGATATAAAGGAAGTATATTACTATCTATTTATTTTTTTATTCCAATGGTAAAAACGATTTCCAAGTGCAATTCAACATTATTGTTTGGCTGATTATTTAAATAGCTTGCTATGATTATTGTTTCTTTAATCAAACATAAAAAGTTTATAGATTGAGCAATAGCTTGCACCTCCATGGCGTAATCGTATCGCAATAACCATGCGGCTTTGCCATTTAGTCGCAGTGAAATCCAAATGCAATAAACGCAACCGGATTTTAAGAACCCACCAAAATGGAGCAATAAAAAAAACGAAAGTTGACCTTGGACTTGTCGCCCGCCGTCACCAGAATCCGACCCGAAATCTCGAATCCATCTAAATGGTTGCACCCCCAAAACTGGTCAGCGCCATCATCGCGATAATAGCCTAAGCAAATTGCCCAGTCATTCGGGTTTTTGCCATGCGTTATTCTGGCGAATCAACAAGCAAATAACGCCAGGCAAACAGAAGTAGAAAAACAACATCGACCATCCACATCCAAAAGAAATCGAAGTCAAAGTCTAGGAGCTGCAAATCCGAAAGGTAATTGCCAGGGCTAATTCGGTATACGGAGTATGGAGTACGGAAAATCGTCTCGTCACTGCATAATTATTCGAGTAGACTCGATGATGAGAGGGCTAGTGTCTGGTAAATTGCCGTTTCTGCCGTGATTTACTATTGACTCTGGTGTCGAGCTCCTTGATTTATTTTATGACTCAACGCATCGTAGCGTGCGCCTCCGTCTCCAATATGCCATCTGATGCTTTGGATACCCTTTAAAAAAAGTATATCTGTTAAATAATAAGTAATTTTTTACTTAAGCAGAGAAGTAATACAAAATATTTCTTAAAATATTTTAATAGAATAAGAAAAATGTTTCACACAACTAAATGTGAAAGAATTTAAATGTATATTAGTAATATTTGTTTTTTCCACTTTTAGTCTTTACTCTTGTTTTAAGCTTAAAGTTTTCAGTTCAATCTTAACTGAAATAAAACCATTTCTGTCAACTGAAAAAAGTACTAAGTTACTTACTCTCTAATTGAAAAGTCAACAAATGACAGTATTCAAATTCTACTGTAAAAAAGTTAAATTTAGAACATTTTTCCTTGAATAATTTGTTAGGGAATATGTTTATTGTTTATTGTGTTGACCACGCTTTTTCGAACAATTTCGCAATTGCATGCAAAAGTAATTTACCCCATGGAGAGTATAAAAATATCAGTCACGGTTAGAACGCAAAATTACCAACACATTGGCTACACACATCACAATCGCACTCTGGAAGACACACATGGACATGGATGAACGGCATCCATTGAAATTCAGAGCGGGTTCAAAGACGGTCGGCCACGGCAACAAATCGTGCAAACAACAACTCGCCGAATTGCATGGAGCAACATCTTTATTCCTGGGTTTCTTTGGGGTTTTATGTTCGTGGAAGTCCGAGGCATATGGAGATGGGGATGGGGTACAGTGGAAGCCGGCAAAGCGATTCAGCTAAATGCATTCGAGTGCTTTATTGATTGGGTTTCGTGTGCTTCGCAGGGAGTGCAAAAATGTATGAAAATCTATTAATTCTACTCGGGGATAAGCAAATGCATCTCAAGTGGCTCGGATCCGGCAATCCGAGGATGAAGTCGGGGATCGGGGATCGGAAGGGGCAGCAGTCAACTGGCCAAGTGGCTGACGTCGACACGGACACGGGTTTTGGTTGACAGGTGTTGACTGAACTGCGAGCCGGCAGTTCAGTCAGGCTATTAATGAAAACAGGTAGGTGTACGAGATGTAAACAATAGCCGAGTTTTCGACTGCAAGATACCCGGTCATTCATTCCTTCGCTTAAAAATAAGTTATCTAATTTGGCATGGAAATTAGATACAGAGCACTCCTTGCAGTTTAACAATAATTGAATTGAATTCAAAATGGAAATTACAGACATTACTGACGTCAATTCGATTGCATTGTTGACAGCGATTAAACAATCAGCAATTAAGTTTGAAATAATAAATAGAATTGTATTCTCAACAGATATTAAACAGAATCTAGAGCGTTGTAAAAGTACACCCTCTGGAAACCTTATACGGAAAAATACAATCGATAAACACTTTAATTTATTATTATTGTTATAATTTTTTTAATATAAAATATAACTAACATGCCTTTTTAACATAGAATATACCCCTGATTCCTATATGATAGATGTGGGGGTCGAGAGAATGGAATTTAGAGTTTTCCTATGGCAGGCCTCAAACTTGGCGTGTACTTGACTTCCGACTTTGAGTGTTACTCAATTGTTTGTTTACCGAATCTAATAATATTTGACTTTCATCAATTGGCAATCAAGTGAGGGAAAAAATACGCAGGCAATTAGCTAGGGATTCACATACCGGAATCTTTGATGGGGAAAAAGGTTTTCCGGCGTCAATTTCAAAGTGCTGTCAAGTGAGGAAGCTTCAACTGGACGGCAGTAAAAGCCAAGTTAACGCATCAAAGCGGCTTTTAAATAATAATTACGAGCTGACTGGGTCAAAGGTCATCTCCAAATACTCAGTCAAGGCAATTATTATGATGGTACGCAATCGTTTGGGACTAGCTTTATGAATGGATTATAAAATTAAGGGTTTACAGGGTCTAAGGCATTTTGTGGCATTTTTCAAAGTCAAATTTAAGAGGCAATGGGCCTAGAAATGCACATTTATATATAATGGAGAGAATAAATATTGTAAAATACTCAGGCTACGAGATTGTCAATTAACGAGGCAACAATTGATTGATTACCAGCTAATCTATAAACGTAGAAATAATTATGTTATAATTATTGGCACAAACACGAGTTTCTAATTTGTTGACAAAGCCAATAACAAGGAGATTTTTTAGAATTTGTATCACATTTCCCTTAGCAGCCAAACAATGAAGAGGGTACTGGTCATTTGGCTGTTAATTTTGCTGTTTAAGCATTATCAATGTGTAACAACTTTTTTTTTCCCTGTCAAACATCCTCAGTAATGTGTTATATATTTAAGGGTGCTGTTATTTTTAAACTGACCAATGCAGTATGTGAGTCCTACAACAAATCCTGGGTGGAGTTCGGTGTGTGTCGCCTTCGAGCCGTGAATCGGAATAAAGTCTGCCTTAATGTCGATGCTAACTTGCTTCACCCGGTGCACGATTTAATAGTGAAGGCCCAATTATTTAAAAGAGCCAATGGCTACAAGCCATGGCTCTATAGCGTCAATTTCGACGGCTGCCAATTTATACGACGGAGAAATAACGCTTTAATTCGTATTGTTTGGGATCTTTTCAAAGAGTACTCGACACTCAATCACTCCTGTCCTTATGTGGTAAGTCGGGTAGAATAATCTAAAAAAAAATTAAATTAACCAATCCCAACTTTAATACTAGGGGCTGCAACAAGTTAAGAACTTTTATCTGAGATCCGAAAAGCTGCCTACTCCCATACCCACTGGGGATTATCTTTTGATGATCGACTGGGTATTTAATAAGAAGCCGCAAGCTGCCACAAATATATATTTTACCTTTGTCGAGGATCTAAAAGATAGTTAAAAAATGTTGTTTTTTATAGTCCGAAAACTACAATAATTTTCTTGAATCATTTTGAGTAATACGTATAATTGAAAATTATTAATGACGCAATTAATAAGTAAATTATATAAGGAAATTTAAGAATGTTTTTTTGAGATCAACACTTATGCATTCAATTTTTGATTTATTTTAACTGAAAATATTGAAACTCAGATTTTGAGCAAAAGTATTTGGTGATATCCAATATACTCACCAATTCAATCAGCCATTTGAACAAAAATTGCTTTTATCCGAGGAATACAAATGCGATTATTAAATCTTTGTTTCTGAGACCACCAACAGAATTTCCGCAGCCGGCGCAATATCGTAATCGTAATTTAAAACAAACAATACAAAAATAATTACCAATTAAGCTTATTTTAAATTCACATTCCGTTTTGCACAACACAAAAACAGCCTTGTCGGGGTGGCAGCCACAAAAATCAGACAATTTGAATAAGCATTTAAAAAGCGGATTGTTTTGCAATACTTTAGGTATATTTGGCTCTTTGCTGTTTCGGATTTGTTTTGTTACATTCGAAAACTATAACATATTTATATCAAATGCATACCCTTTTAAATCAAAATTTTAATTCTCAAACAGTATCCGATTACGGATTACAACAAAGCCTTTTCAGTTTCTGACAAGATCGCAACGAAAGAAGATAGGAGTCGATTATAAAAATGTGATATTTTTAAGCATTTAAAAGCTATTCAAAATAAAAAATATAATTGATAGATCTAAAACTTGTTACATTATCTGAGTAAAAATAATGACTTGGAGTCCAGGGAGTCGACCTTATTGTGCACCCGGTACTGAAGAGAGGTATTGTTTCCCAGGCGCACCACTTCGCGTAGTTTGCAGCCAATCTCTAGGATGGCCTCCTCGTCCTTGGCATCATTAGTCCAGATGGAGATCTTATGGACCTTTCGGCGAATCCTAACGACAGCTCCGCAGATCTGATCGCAATGATGGCAGGCCTCGCCAATGAGGCAAAGCAAAACATCGAGCCACATATGGTCCGTTTCGTCATGGGAGTTTCTATTTACTATGATCAACCAACGAACGCCCTGCACATTTGACGGGTCCTCCCACATAGGACTAATATTCTCTTTAAAGAGCGAGTAATCACTGCCCAGTTTGAGCTTTGAAGGCGGCTCGATGCGGTAATACAATCGCCAGAAGGCCTCGACGGAGCTGAAGCTGCCAATCTTGTTCAGGTTGTCCTCCCACGACTTGGCGAGATCGACATTCAGAAGCCACAGGGTCCATGTGTTCTGTAGCTTATGCTTCTTAATATTCCGGGATGGAGAAAGGGTTCCTGCTTATTCAGCAGCCTGGGGATTCCCCTCATTCGCTTTCGTTTCTTGCAATGTTTTTAGGTTAATTTTCTTCTGAAAGCCTTCCATTTTAGGTTTGTGGCAATTAATTTATGTAAACTAGAACTCTTTATGTTTATGTTTATGCTGACGATATCCGTAAGCTGTTGAAATTTTTTTACTTTTTATTAAGCAGGTAAAGTGTGACCGAATCCATTTGTTCAAATTATTCCCCCTCTGTTTTTTGTACTCTAACGACCATTTTAAACTCGAATTCTTGTGGTTGTAAGGTGTGTCCGTATTGGAAATTTCTGTTTTCGCTTCAGTTTGAAAGTAAAATTGGTTCTTACATAAATAAAATTTTAATGTTGTGATTTTGGCAATTTAAATGACTTTAAAAGAAATATTGAATTTAACTATAACGCTCTTTTTTATGTAGACAAAATTCAAGATGAATCGCTGTTGCTTATAATAACAATAAGCATAGCGAAGTTCATATACTATTTTTATCTTATAAATGCTTAACAGAAGTTAATCCATTTAATAAAATTAGTTCGATAATTTTGCGTATTGTAATTAATATTAGTATGACATAAAGAATTTTTCGAGATTAGTTATTCAAGGATCTTAAAATATATCAATATTGTTTGTGCATAAATAAAGGCCACACGAATAAGCTAAGATATCTGAGGTCCGTAAAAAACATTTAAAGTATACACCGATTGGGAATCATCAACTTTGTGCGCGTGGTACTGAACAGTGGCGTTGCTTACCAAGCGCACGACATCGCGTAGTTTGTAGCCAATCTCTAGGATGGCCTCCTCGTCCTTGGCATCCTTAGTCCAGATGGAGACCTTATTGACCTTTCGGCGAATCCTTACTGCAGCTCCGCAGATCTGATCGCAGTGGTCGCAGGCCTCGCCAATTAGGCAAAGCAAAACATCGAGCCATATTATATCCAAGTCGTCCGTGAAGGCACTGCCGATTGTGATCAACCAACGACCGCCTTGCAGGTTTATCGGATCCTCCCACATGGGGCGGATGTTCTCTTTGAAAAGCATGTAATCAGTGCCCAGTTTGAGCTTCGATGGCTTCTCGATGCGGTAATAAAGGCCCCAGAAGTCCTCGACGGTGCTGAAGGTGTCAATCTTGGTGAGAATGTCCTCCCACGACTTGCTGGGATTGTTGTCCAGAAAATACAGGATCCATGTGTTCTGAAGCTGGTGCTTTTTAAGATTTTGGGATGCAAGGGGATTCGCCTCCTTTGTTTTAATCAAAGACTTGCGATTGGTAAAGTTATTCATTATCTGAACACCTCTTTGCACTTTAAATTTAATGCTGGCTGAGATCACTTCTGTGCCGCAGATTTGGAGAGCGCTTAATTAGAGTTAACTAATATGCAATTATTTTTTTTTATGTTTATGTGCATGACAAGTATGGCCGAAGCTTGATCTGTGCCAAATACTTCTTTTTTAAGCTTTACAAAATGTCGATAAGCGATCTAGGTTACTGTTACAAGTAAAATGTAAATATACACAATGTATAAATGTATAATACATAAGTTTAATGCGAAAAATTATTGTGTATGGCTAATAATATTTAAACCTATTAGTCAATTTTTATTTTAGATTTAAATAAAAACTATTATATTACACGACTTAAATGTAAAATGGTATCTACGTACTTTAAATTTACAGAACGAAAAGCTTTCGATATCTATCGATATTTCGACTGTTTTTCATCGGCCTCTCTTCCAGCTCTAATAAATATTGATTGCTAAAACAAAAGGAATTTTGCACTAACACTGGCCCGCCGTTGCTGCAAATTCGCGCCAGGATGGATATGATAAACAAGTTCTACTCATCCGCCGTGCAGACGGTGTCCACCTTGTCCGGCGTTTTGCCCGGGAACAATGTGACGCGGGAGTACGAGGTGCTGGAACAGGTGTGCACCGCCGGAGTGGGTGAGTTTGCTTAACGTTCCCCTCCATACGGAACCCAACATATTGTGGCTAATATCATGTAATCCCCAACCAATAGGACTCATGTGGAAGGTGTACAATGGCCACAAAAAGAGCACAAAACAAGAGGTGTCCGTCTTTGTCTTCGAGAAGAAGGCCCTGGAGCGCTGGTCGAAAGATGACAGGGAGACCATGTTGGAGACACTGCGACGAGGCGTTCAGCAGCTGACAAAGATTCGTCATCCACATGTGCTTACCGTGCAGCATCCGCTGGAGGAGAGCCGCGATTCCCTGGCCTTTGCCACGGAGCCTGTTTTTGCCTCACTGGCCAATGTTGTGGGCGATAATGTGCGCTCCGAAAAGAAACTATACGATGTGGAAATCCGACACGGTCTACTGCAACTCTTCGATGGCCTGCAGTTCCTCCACCAAGACGCCAAGATTGTGCACCGCAACATCAGCGCCGAAACGATCGTGATCAACAAGAACCGGAGTTGGAAGCTCTTCGGTTTCGATTTCTGCATCGCCAACCAGCCAGCCACGGATGGCACACCCCACTGGCCATTCCGGGAATACACCACTTCGCTGCATGTTCTGGCGCAACCCAGTCTGGAGTACACGGCGCCGGAGCTGGCTTTAAGCAGTATCAACACGCCGGACAGTGATCTCTTCTCGTTGGGTGAGTATGGAGAAAAAGGAATTCTCTATTGACTTTATCAAATAACCATTCGAAAACAAAAGTCTGTTTTAATTGAATCCGCAGGACAATTTGTAATTGCACAAAAAATCAGAATATGTTTTCCTTGATTTTATCAGTTATATGACTCACAATAAGCCAATTTATCTTTAGATTCCTTAGATAACATAACCAACATTTTGCATGCGATTATTGAAAGGCAATAAGACAACTATAAAGTTTAAATGAGAATCCTTATCCTTCTTTCTGTTTGGCAAAATTTAAAAAGTTGAAAATCGATCAAATTTAGAGTCTCACTTAATCGCTTTCCATATATTTTATATAACCACTAGGCGTGCTCATCTTCACTACCTATGCCGGCAAGCCGCTGAAGATGTTTGGAAGTGATTACAGCAGCTTTCGGCGCTACGCTAATGATCTCAATCAGCGGAAGTATCCACCCATGAATGCAGTGCCCAGCGAGCTGACCGAGAGTCTCAAGGCGCTTTTGCATCCCAGTGCCAGTCTGAGGCCAAAGCTGCACGAACTCAAGCAGATTGCCTACTTTCAAGACGTTGGCGTTAAGACTTTGAGCTATTTGGACTCGCTTTATCAGTGGGACAACCTGCAGAAGTCCAAGTTCTACAAGGGCCTGCCGCAGATCATTCCGACGCTGCCGCATCGCGTCAATTTGCACTCGATTCTGCCGTACTTGGTCAAGGAGTTCGTCAACTCGCCGATGATCCCGTTTGTGCTTCCCAACGTCCTACTTATCGCGGAGATGAGCAGCCAGCGGGAATACTGCGATCACATTCTGCCGCACCTGAAACCGATCTTCAAGCTGACAGATCCCATCCAGATCTTGCTGATTTTTATGCAAAAGATGGATCTGCTGCTGAAGCTGACGCCGGCGGAGGAGGTGAAGCAGAGTGTGCTGCCGCTGCTTTACCGCTCCTTGGAATGCGACATGCCCCAAATCCAGGACCTCTGTCTGGCGGTGCTGCCCACATTCTCCACTTTGATCGACTACAACGCAATGAAGAATTCGGTGCTACCTCGCATAAAAAAACTGTGCCTGCAGAGCAGCAATGTGTCGGTGAAGGTTAACTGCCTAATATCTATTGGCAAGCTACTCGAGAACCTGGACAAATGGCTGGTGCTAGATGAGATTCTGCCCTTCCTGCAGCAGATTCAAAGCCGCGAGCCCGCTATCATAATGGGAATTATTGGTGAGTGTTTAACACCAATAACTGCTTTTGGAAAGTAACTAAATCTGTTTTTAAGGCATCTATAAAATTGCAATGACCAATACCAAACTGGGCATAACCAAGGACGTGATGGCACACAAATGCATTCCTTACCTAGTACCCTTAAGTGTGGAGAACGGCCTTACAATAGCTCAATTTAACACTATAATAGCCCTGATCAAGGAGATGCTGGGCCGGGTAGAGCAGGAGCAGCGGGAAAAACTGCAGCAATTATCCACCATACAGAGAGACAACAAGTGAGATAGTTTTGCTTTATATATACATATCGAATGCAATTTAAGACATTTACCCTCTCCCTTACAGACCCAAAGACGCTTCCGAAATATTGGCCAATGAGCTGGAGAGCTCTACTCTCTCCCCCAATGGTGCCAGCAATGGCAACAAGATCAACGATGACATGTTCTCCGGCTTCACAGTGGCCCAGCCAAAAGCATCCAGCGCCGCTCCTCTTGCGCCCGTTAAGGCCAGGGAACAGCTCAAGTAGGAATCAATCAAGACGGAACCGAAGAGCACCTGCTGAAACTCAAGAAACCTTTTGTTATTCCAGAATATCGCACAACACAATATCGGCGCCGCCGGCAGCCCGGCCAGACATTCTCTCCTCAATGATGCAGAGCAACCTCACTGGTCTGGGGACAACTGCAGTGGCAGCTGCTCCTGCACCAGCCGCCACACAAATGCAGACCAACAATGGTTGGCACAGTGCAAATCCGCTGGTGATGAACCATCAACTGGCCTCGCCACAAGCCAGCAACAACAATACCTTTTCGTTAGACGACCTAGATCCCTTCGCTGGTGGAAAAATCGCTGCTGTCGCCCCGAAACCGAGCAGCACAAACGGTGCCAATATGTATACGCTGCAGCAACCCACAGTGAACTACATTTATCCAAGTGGCTACAGTCTGAACAGCATTCAGCAGCATCAGCAGCAACAACTTCTGGGAAAACCCAGCCAAGCTCCAACGCTACAGCCGCAATCACAGCCCCTGTTGCCGTCGGATAATCAGAACCTCAACGCTCTTTCCCAGCAGGATATACTTAACTTCTTAAACTAGATAAAGTCTTAGCCAATAACAATTGATAGATTTCCATACTCCATATAACTAATATTCAAGGCATCTTTATAAACCATGTTGCGTCGGTTCGTGTGTATTTTAAATTTTAGGAGCTGAAAGTAATCTTTGAGTATTTTAAGAAATTTCTTTTTGAAGACTTAATTAAAATTATGTTTATAATAATTAGTAAAGGTTTTGAACTATCACATGTCCTCGAGCCGACTTACACAAACTACTATAAAAACAAGTGGAAAAGAAAAAAATGATCATACAAAAGTTTAATAGGTCGTCTTACATCAAACTGCATAAAAATCCGTTGACTACTTTCGTTCCTTAGATTTAAAACCGTGCAAAAAGACATAGCATCGTATTTGAGATAATATTATATACATAAATGTTTCTGTGCAAGAGTGTGAATGTCTTGTCTAAATGTGTGCGTGTTTGTTAGAAATGTTTTAAATTATACTATGTAGATTTTAACATAAGTCCTTTGGATTCTAAATCGTTGTCACATTCCGCAATGGATATCAATTGTGAAACGAAACGAATGCATCTAGTTAAATAGAATATGTATTATTATTAGCTAGACAAAATAGCCAACCAACTATGTTCTACGCATTGTGCAATTGCTCTTTACCTATATTTTACAAAATATATCAATTCAGTGAAACGGTTTTCGGTGTAATAAAATACTTATATTTATATTATTTTTTTATAGTTATTCTTCACTCTTAAAAGGCGAAAGATGTACAGACAAATTTCGATTTTTATATTTTTAAATCGTTTATTGATAATTTTAATATTTAATTGAAATATAATTATTAAGTAATGATCACATTAAATGGCAGTTATTATTTGTTCCTTGAGTTATACAAAATCTTTAACAAAATATATCGTTTTAAAAAAGAAAATTGTTTTATTTCATAATTTCATGAAAAACATCAGAAAATCATCAAAAATATGACTATGAGTACAAAAATTTCGATTGGTGCAATAAATAAATTCAAAACAAATTTAAGGTTAAATTGTACATTCTTAAAATTAACCTTTTCAATTCAAAATTCTATATTTATTAAAAAATAAGCGAGGTAAATTTTAAAATCTTGTTTTCTTTAATCTTCAACGGGTTTTTTGTTAGTTCCTTTAACAAACTTCACCACAGCGCCGGGTAATTTTATTTTAGCAACATATTGATTAATAGGCGAACCCAAATATAAGTTAAATGGAAAAAAAAACAACATAATTTTATAATTTACTGCATTTTTTATTGGCAGAGGCAGATCGTGCTTAACATGGTTGATACCTTTGGCGATATCCGTTTTATTTGAAAACACCCGTGTTGTACTTCAATTACAGATTTGACTTCCCCATCTTTTCCTGCTTCTTAGCCTAGTGAGTAAGATATCACGATCGATTCGGAACGCATTGTCTAAGGCGGCTGCTAATCGGTTGCTAAGCTAAGTGCACCCAAGTCCTAAAACAATTCAAATGACCGACTAACAAACCGGCGGTTGGGCTACGAAAACGATTTGCCTACAAGCTAAATATAACAAATACTGGCACTGGCACTCAGGTCTCCACCAGGATGTGCGTAAACAGGCTGTGCATTCGTCGCTCCACCTCATTGTAGACCAGTGAGTTGAGTCCGTCCGAGTGCTGGCGCATGGTCGCCGACCTCAGGAGCGCCACTCGGTTTGCATTGGGGCGCTCCGGCTTGTGCTTCAGCATGGTGTACTCACTGAACTCCATCGCAAACCGACAGATATCAATGTTCAGGGCCTGTAAGCGCTCATAGAGATCATCGTCCTCGCCGCCCCAGCCATGATACAGATTTGACATGCCATTGATCTGCTGGAACTGTGCGGTGTTGATGGCCACCACGCCGCCAAAGAGACCTTGATAGGGCAGCCGGAAGCGCCAATGATCCAGGGCGGAGCACATGTGCCGCGGCCGCTCCGTACAGGCGTACATTTGACCCGAGTTGAGCGGCAAGAGGTCCACGTCATGGAGGATCAGGCAGGGAAATCCATACTCCGCAGCCACCTGGGCGCCAATGTTGAAGAGCATCGCCCGGTTGAAGGGTTTGTGGTCAAACTGTTCGACCAGGAAAATCCGATAGTGGATCAACTGCTGGGGCAGGTAATTGTGCATGTAGGTGAGGAAGGCGTGGAGCTGCTCCTCACGCTGCCTGTACGGCACAATGATAGCGGTGCTGTAGCGGGCCTGACATCCTTCCGGCCGGAACTCACCACCTGGACGGACGCCCCGCTGCATTGCCTCATGGTAATGGGCTAGGTGGTAGACGAACCTGTTCTCCGAGATAATCTCCGAGTAAGTGCACTCGAACACCTCCTGCAAGGACACATTTCGGGTCACCTGGCGCAGCAGCGCCTCCTCGATCTTCGATCCCTCGATGTAATCATAATGGGATGCGAACCGGAAGGGCAGGCACAGGTAAACGATGAGCGTGAACAGGCCGACGGCAAAGAGCAGGTCATAGGTGCGGTAGCTCCGGAGCCACAACCACACAAACATCGTTGTCAGGAACTGGAGACTCAGCGGGATCGGTCGAAATACCGCATCCTTACTCCGGATGTAATCGCGATTGGCGGGCGGTTCGCCGATAACAGCTGACGACCAGGGAGGCAGTTAATTAACGCGCAAGCACTACTACAGTGGTACTTCAGTACAATTTCTACATTTTTATATTGATCTGAAACCTTTTCCTAATAAATAAAAACTTTATTTAAAAAAAATTAAATTGCATTTTGCTTACAAAAGAATCAGGATTAATTATTTCTTTATTTAAACTGTAAAAATAACTTTAACATTTTAACAAATACACTTCAAGAGCATGCACTGTATGAGCAAACATGTTCCTTTATCTAATAAGCAGATAAGAGTTATATTAACTTTGAGTCATGGATTATCAAAAAAGAAGGTAATAAATGACTGATTGCTTTGCAATAAACATTTTCCTTGACAAGCAATATAGTATTTATTTAGTTTTAAAATGTTATGTATATTTAAGCCATTTTATATATCAATTAAAATTTGAAAAAGTGTTTTAGGATTACCAAATAAATGCCAATAATATGATTGTTACCATAAAAACAAGTTAAAAAAAAAATGGATTTTCTAGGTATGCTAATTTCTGGTTCCTCCAACTGATATTTACTGTATAAACAAAGCAATGAGCTATTGAAAATCTGGCAACACCATGTAATTTTGTTGTGCATCCCTGGACCGGCGGAGAACTACGAGTTTTCTTACCATTTCTCGTCTTTAACCAATGTGCCGGCAGTTTAATTGGCCAAAATGACGTCCATTATCAAACTGCACACAATATCCGGAGCGATGGACGAGTCCCCGCCTTGCTACATCCTTCAGATCGACGATGTGCGAATTTTACTCGACTGTGGATGGGACGAAAAGTTCGACGCCAACTTCATCAAGGAGCTGAAAAGGTAACGAAAGAAAAATTAAGAAAAACAATAATGCATTTTGTCCATCCCCAGGCAGGTACACACTTTGGATGCAGTGCTGCTGTCCCATCCGGATGCCTACCACCTGGGCGCACTGCCTTACTTGGTGGGCAAGTTGGGGCTGAATTGCCCAATTTACGCCACCATTCCCGTGTTTAAAATGGGACAGATGTTCATGTACGATCTGTACATGTCGCACTTCAACATGGGTGACTTTGATCTGTTCTCGCTGGACGATGTGGATACGGCTTTCGAGAAGATCACCCAGCTGAAATATAACCAAACGGTTTCTCTTAAGGGCAAGGGCTATGGAATATCTATAACTCCGTTAAATGCTGGACACATGATCGGGGGAACCATATGGAAGATCGTCAAGGTGGGCGAGGAGGATATTGTCTATGCCACCGACTTCAATCACAAGAAGGAGCGCCACTTGAGCGGCTGCGAGTTGGACAGGCTGCAAAGACCTTCGCTGCTGATCACCGATGCCTACAATGCACAGTACCAGCAGGCCAGGAGAAGGGCACGCGATGAAAAGCTGATGACCAACATTCTGCAGACGGTGCGCAACAATGGCAATGTCCTGATAGCCGTGGACACCGCTGGACGCGTTCTGGAGCTGGCCCACATGTTGGACCAGCTGTGGAAGAATAAGGAGTCCGGCTTAATGGCCTACTCGCTGGCCCTTCTTAACAATGTTAGCTACAACGTGATTGAGTTCGCCAAATCGCAGATCGAGTGGATGAGCGATAAACTCACGAAGGCCTTTGAGGGAGCCCGTAACAATCCCTTCCAGTTCAAGCACATCCAGCTCTGCCATTCGCTGGCGGACGTCTATAAGTTGCCCGCCGGTCCAAAAGTGGTGCTGGCCAGCACGCCAGACTTGGAGAGCGGATTTACGAGGGACCTCTTTGTACAGTGGGCCAGCAATGCCAACAACAGCATTATCCTGACCACACGCACTTCTCCCGGAACTTTGGCCATGGAACTGGTGGATAACTGCACGCCGGGCAAGCAAATCGAGTTGGACGTCAGGCGGAGGGTTGAACTAGAAGGCGCTGAGTTGGAGGAATACATACGCACACAGGGCGAAAAGCTGAATCCTCTCATTGTCAAACCCGATGTGGAGGAGGAGAGCAGCTCCGAGTCCGAAGATGACATTGAGATGAGCGTCATCACGGGCAAGCATGACATTGTGGTCCGGCCAGAGGGTCGCCATCATTCCGGCTTCTTCAAGTCCAACAAGCGGCACCATGTGATGTTCCCCTATCACGAGGAAAAAATCAAGTACGATGAGTACGGCGAGATCATCAATCTGGACGATTACCGCATTGCTGATACGGGGGGCTACGATTTTGTAGCCATGGAGGAGCAGAACAAGGAGAATGTGAAAAAGGAGGAACCAGGTGTGGGAGCAGATCAACAGGCCAATGGAGGCATCGGCGACAACGATGTCCAGCTGCTGGAGAAGCCCACCAAACTGATAAGCCAGCGTAAAACCATTGAGGTAAATGCCCAGATCCAGAGGATCGATTTCGAAGGTCGCTCCGATGGCGAGTCAATGCTGAAGATTCTCTCGCAGCTGAGACCGCGGCGGGTTATTGTCATCCACGGCACAGCAGAAGGCACCCAGGTGGTGGCCAAGCACTGCGAACAGAATGTGGGAGCGCGCGTGTTTACGCCCCAGAAGGGCGAAATCATTGACGTGACCACCGAGATCCACATCTACCAGGTGCGCCTGACCGAAGGTCTTGTTTCCCAGCTGCAGTTCCAAAAGGGCAAGGACGCGGAGGTGGCGTGGATTGATGGTCGACTGGGCATGCGTGTCAAGGCCATTGAAGCACCCATGGAAGTCACCGTAGAGCAGGATGCAGCTGTGCAGGAAGGCAAGACTTTGACCCTGGAGACCCTGGCCGAGGACGAGATTCCCATCCACAACTCGGTGCTCATCAATGAGCTGAAGCTCTCCGACTTTAAGCAGATCCTCATGCGCAACAACATCAACTCGGAGTTCTCCGGCGGCGTTCTCTGGTGCAGCAATGGAACACTGGCCTTGAGGCGTGTGGATGCCGGCAAGGTGGCAATGGAAGGTTGTTTGTCAGAGGAGTACTACAAGATCAGGGAGCTGCTCTACGAGCAGTATGCTATCGTTTAATATTAAACATGACGTTTCTTTAAACTCCACTCGCTTTAAGATTAGAAAAAGTTAAAATTTATTTTATAAAGTTGATTTATTTTATTGTCTACATAAATTGCAGCATGGGATCCTCTGCCCTCGGCCGCTTCTTCTTCCACTCTTCGATTTCGTCCTCTGTGGGCGCCTTCACATCATACATGCTGTTGTATGCCCGTTTTCGATCGTCCAGCTCCTCAGGAATCTCTTTTTCCTTCGTCTTCTCCTTTTCCTCCTTGTGCTTGGATTTTTGTTTGCGCTGCTCCTTGGCCTTCTTTCTCTTCTCGCGCTTCTTAGACTTTTTCTTGGACTTTTTCTTCTCGGGTTTTACTATCTCCTCCTCCGATGAGGAGGATTCCGAACTCGGGGCTGAGTCAACTTCGGAGGCGGGCCTCTCTGGGGGCACTTCTGGTACCTTAAACTGGATCTGGGCGGGGGTTTCTGCTGAAGATGCTTCTGCTGAGCTGGAGCTGGTGGGATGCTGATCCGAGTAGCCCTCTGGCTCTTGCATACCCACACAGTACGAATTCTTAATAAAGGACTTGCAACACTTGTAGCCCCAACGACCCGCATTCCAAAAACTGCCCCAAACGGTCGTGTGGTTGTTGATGTACACATCCTCCTCGTAGATACTACGCGCTTTTGGCTTCTCCACGCCCTTGATCACCTTACCGCTGCGAGAGTACTCAATGTACTCCTCGGTCTGGGCCAGCAGCAGCGATTTTGGCGGCACCTGCAGGTGCTCCTCGCCTCCGTACTTCTCCACAATGTGCGTTTTGGTCTGAAATTACAAAAGAAAGTTGTAAATATTGCTTTTGGGATTTCAAGTCATAAGTAAATACTAACACTCGACTTAAACTGTTCCTTCTTCTGCTCGTACTCTTTCTGGAGCAGCTCCAACTTAGTGGGTTCGGCCAGCAGATGCACATCCACACCCTTGCCATGAGCCTCCCAGGCAAACAACTGAGCCGTGGCCTGGGCTGTGGTGTCTCCAGAGAAGCGCACAAAGTTCTCACCGGCAAACTCAGCTCTGCAAGATTTAAAGGTTAAGGAATCTCTTGACTTGAATATGTTTTCGCTACTCACTCTTCATCGGGCAGCGCTGGATTGGGATTGTCACGCATGGAGCGTGTTTTGGGATCGTAGTAAGCGGAGTTGGGGTCCAAGTTCCGCAGATATTTGGCTGTGTCCTCACGGATACGCAAGTTACGCACTGTGATGCGCTGTTTGGAGTCCACCTTGGTACCAGGCATGTCCACCTCGTCCACGTACTTGTCCTCGTTGCCCTCCTCATCGGATATCTCGGCATCGGGGTCTAAAGGGGTAAGTATTAGAGATATGGAGACAACATTTAGAATGAGTTTGTAACTACCGTTCTTTAGCTTTTCGGCCTTAAGCTGCCGCTTGGCCTCCTCAACCTTCTCGTACTCCTCGATGATCTCCCTGTGATTAGCCGGATCGTAGCTACTCCAGCGATCGCGTTTCTCGTCATAGTTTACGGCCGCCTCATTGACCAAATGCTCGTCGTGCACAACAATGGATTCGGCATACTTGGCTTGAACTTTGCGCGGCCGCTCTAAGCAATCCTTGCGTTTGTGGGTGACCGCTCCACAGTTCTCGCAGGCTCCTTTTCGAAACTTTGTGATGATGCGAGTGGTGTTGAGACCCTTAGGAGCCCTCTTGTCCAACTCTCCCTGCTCGTCTTCGTGCTGTGGACGCTGATGCTTCAGCGTAGGTCCCGCCGAGCCGTAGTACCACGGGGCATTCGATATGTACTGCGGGATGTGCGGATTAATGTCGCGACCCTCTTCGTCGACGGCGGCTGGTGCTGTTCCAGCTTTTCGGGCCTCCTCCAGCTCCTTGGCTTTGCGCCAATCCTCGCGCGACTTTTTCTTCGGTTCCTCCTCCGCATCCTGGTCGTGCTTGCTCTGGATGATCTGCGAGACCGGTGTGCGCATGGCCCCCGAACTCATTTTGCCTGATTTTATTTATTTACCAATTGCTAAGTAAAATTTCTTGCTCTTCTTGCATGGCCAATGTTGGTAAGCGCAAAAGCCGTTCTTTGGCAAAAGGTGTTGGAAAATCACTAATATTTGGTTTATATCGATGTTTCATCGAAATTTGAAATTCAGTTTTTGTTTTTAACAAAACTTTTATTCTTATTTATTTGAGAAAAGTAGGTGCTTGTACACAACAGCAGATCGCAGTCACTGACCAGTCTGACATTGGGCTGTTGTGTTGCCAGCCGTCTTTATAGAGTTCCTCAGTCGTTGCTTTTTTTTATAAACAATCAAAACATCTCGCTTTGTTATTGATTCCAGCTCTTCCAAACATTGATCTGAACGGCAATGTTAAATCGTCGTCTTCCTAACATTTTTATGTTAGATCATCGTTTTCATAACACTCCTATGTTAGTGGACAGCACTGCGGCAGAGGGAAAGCAGAGTAGAGATGGGAAAACATCGAGAAAACCAATAGTTTGAAAACATCGATTACATAGATGTTGGCATCGATGTTTCTCCACCTCTATAGCACATCCCTAACGTTTTTCCAATAAGATTTGGCGTGAACATTTTTATCAATATTAATAAGCCAAACCATTTTAAGGCCAATAAAAAATAGCCAGCAATGCAACGGAAAATGCTGGACACTGTGATTTTGTGAAATAATTCGAATCCGTCGAAGAACAAAGGAGATACCTTGGGAAAACCAATCAATTTAAAACGCTGTGCAAACAGGGTGCGTGTAACTGTGTGCGTGCATGTGCATGTGTATGTATGTGTGTTCTACTGCCAAGGCATCCTTAAATTTTCGCACTTTTTTCTCTAATATACCAGCTTCTGCGCGCCTCGCCTCAACATTTTTTCTCTATATACCAACAATAGAGAGAGAGCGCCAGAAAGTGAGAGAGAGTGTAGTGTATATAGAAAAACATAAACAAGACATTCTTGAATTTTCGTGCTTATTTGATTTCGGTTTCAAGCAAAGAAGACATACAAAATGTGCAATATTATAAAAAGTGTAAAAATTACCATTAAAACTGCTTGTTAAAAGAATATCTACACACCCAAAAGCCCAAACAAAACATTTACAAAGAATAATTTTTGAACTACTAATATTGTGCGCCACTTCGATTCTTAACTAACACTGGTTTCGTTGGTTATTCTCATCAGTGTCAAACTGACAGTTAAACGGTACGGCAACTCTGCCAGCTGGAAGGCCTTCCTTTTCATCAATTAGAACATTACAAATTTTCCAATTGGACCAGTTAACCAAACGTTTAGTTAATTGTACGCACTTATTGGCTTTTTGTCAGGTGCTTCCAATTGAAGTGGGCGTGAGACGCGCGTGTATTGGTGGGTGGGTAAGGTGCGAGCGAAAGAAAGCACTAGAATTACTTGTTATTCTTTCTTTGTTGTTTTATCTGTGGAAAAAAGCTGACTGCGAGTGTATTAGTGTGTGCGCGCTTGTGTATGTATGTGCCATACATGCACACAAAGAATTTGCATAAAAAGTGAGCAAGTAAAAGCATTATACATATGTAATCAAAGCTAAATGACACTGAAAGTACTTAAGATTGTGGAAAAAAAAGGGGGCAATTACTTGTTCCCACCAAAATTGCCAATCAGAAAAATTCTTTGTACACCAATTAGTGCGGTACTGTGATTGTGTATTTCGCCCAGTGAACAACTATCTGTGGGATTGCGAGATGAACAAAGTTGCACTCCTTGGAATGATTTGATTTATATGGTAGAAATATTACCATAGCAGATGATGGTCGTGTACTATTTTCGATTTTCTGTTTCACGGACTGTTGTCGTTTGAGCGATTGCCTAATGTACACACACAAATGAAAACAGACACAGGGGCGGACAAAATAGTAGTAGTCATAGAATAATTCTAAAAAAATTGACAAACAATTTTATCCTGCAGACCTTTTGTGGTTTTTATTTAGAACTAAAAAAGAAAATATTTTAGTTCAGTTTGCTTTTATGAAATGTTATATTAACCTTAAAAAAGATATTTTTTTACCGGTAGCTAAAAGTACGTTTTGAAACAACAAATTTCATCATTTTTATCAGTTTAAAACCAACTAATTGTTAAAATTAACAACAATTTTGTTTAAATCACGTAACGTAAAACAAATTAAATTTAAAAAAAGTACAGACTTGCAACCGAAGCGGTACAAATTCCAGATGTGGAGTATTGTTTACCTATTAGAATATAGAATCATTATTAATGAAAGAAAAAAAAATAATTTAAGAATGTGTGTTTTAAGCGAACACACCTACTATTCTTACCGCTGCTGTGGGTGTTGTATGTGCATAAATTCCATCGATACAAGGCGCAGGCGACCTTGGGAGTGAATCGAGTGTACCGCATACGCCATTCATGAGTGTCAATGACCTACAGTAACATTGGCCCACAGCGAGCGCCACTCTAGCGTTTCATTGCACGATTTTGAAATTGATAGTCTAGTTCTTATGATTATATATCCTGTTCCACAGATCAGGATCACCCGACAGCCGCCCAACACCGCAAACAAAGCCGAGTGGTCCACCGCTGCTCCCCACACAGACACATACGAACATCGCACGGAGGGAGGATTGAGGAGCGGCAGGATCAGGATCACACTTCTAGATCGGCAGTAGGCACCGGTGCAGGCGGATAGGACAGGGACAGGAACAGGGACAGGACTCAATATCACGACCATGTTTACGGGCAAGCTGCAGATCAAGGTGTGCGAGGCGAGCGGCCTGCGGCCCACAGACTTCCAGAAGCGCCACAATCTCACCTTCGGCAAGCTGGCCGACGAGCAGCTCATCGATCCCTATGTCTCCATTGATGTCGACGAGAGCCACTTTGGTGAGTGTCCCACAACGTTATTTAAATATCGAATATGTTTAACCCCAAAACCTCAAGTCAGCGCTCATTAGTTAATATAGTCAATATATGTTGCATACTTAAAAGTTTTTTTTTAGGTTGTATTTAATATCCTGTTTCAAATCGATCCGAACAAAATAGACAACGATATGAGCATGGAAAGATAACAATACGTTGCGAAATACATATTTAGTAAAACTTTTGATTAGAGACTAGCTTAGTGAGTTACATATATATCTAGAACTATTGATATTTTTGTTTTCGATGATCCAGTACGATACAAGTTTTGTCATTGCAAAAAAAAATCTGAGAAAGGACATTTTCTAAGCAAAAAGAATCAACTGCTTAAATGTATCTAGTACATACAAAGTTGCCAAAAGCTGCTCTCGCAAATATTCTATCAAATTGGAATATGAATAAGGTTTTAAAGTAAAACTTTATATGAAATGCTGGTATTCCTTTACTTCCAGATCGAGCCACCACACGGCCAAAGACATTCGATCCAGTTTGGAACGAGCAGTTCGTCCACGACGTGACCAATGTTAGCAACATCAACTTAACCGTCTTTCATGATGCCGCTCTGCCACCCGATGACTTTGTAGCCAACTGCATTATCTCCTTTGAGGACCTCATGCAGAGTGAGACGGCTGTGCAGGATCTATGGGTATGTATGCAACCATAATTTGTTTGATCCTTAATTTCCCTATGGTATTTACAAGCTCCTTTAACATTCCAGGTTAATTTGGAGCCGCAGGGCAAGATTCACGTCATAATTGAGCTGAAAAATCGCACTGGTACGAATACGTATAAATGTTAAAAATTAAACATTACTGATTTGATCCTATTTTTATCAGATAAAGCCAAAGCCGAGGCAGTGGTGGAGCACACTGTGGCCGCCAACAAGGAGTTCAAAGAGCGTGCTGGCTTCAACCGTCGTCGCGGTGCCATGCGTCGTCGTGTCCACCAGGTACATTTTCATTTTCCTTTTTTAGGGATCCTATTTTTGAGTCAAAATTCCGTTTATTTTAAAACCTAAATTTTGTATACTAAACAAGCAAAAAAAAAGCTAATCAATTTGTTATTTAGAAAAATAATATTGACAATACTATGAGATGTTTATGGCAATTTTTTAAAATTTGTACCGTCATTAAATCAACGAATTATCAAAACATTTAATTTCCACATTGTAGTAAATACCAAAGACTAGTCTACAATTCCATAAGTAAACTTAAAGTAACTTCTAAAAATTAAACTGAAATCTTGATTTTAAAATGTCAGTTTCACTCAATTTCACTATCGTTTTTTCTGTTTTCCCACAGGTTAATGGGCACAAGTTCATGGCAACGTTTTTGCGTCAACCCACCTTCTGTTCGCATTGCCGCGAGTTTATCTGGTAAGTGGAGCCCAGCACACATAATCGTACAACTCTCGTAACGTACTCACAGCCGGGCTGAAAAAAAACATCTCCGTACATCCCTAAGTTGTATACGCAGTGATTAATCTGAACATGCATTTAGTTTCGGGACTTGATTTACACACCTCTCACCATCTGAACTATTTTTTGATTTAATTTGATTCGACTTGGGTTGATCTCTCTTACCTCTATGTTCTTAATGTATCCACTATCCCTCACTCATCACTCATCTCTCATCGCTCTACTGGCTCCATATCCTTGGCTCTTTATTGGGTGGCTCACTATTATGCAGTTTTAATTTCCTTGGTTCTCTATATATCCATCGGCATTAAACTGGTTTCTCTAATGGGCTTTTAGCATTTGCTGCTGGCATGGGTCGTTGGGTCATCACGGGTTCACAATCACAACCACGATAACGGTCACGATCAGATCATGCTTGATTTCTTATGGGGCTTCCATTGGCGGTTATCATGCATTCGCAAAACACTCGCACACACAAACAAAACAAACACACCAATCATTCAGTTACCAAAATATATATACATACAATAGCCATGGAATTTCTTGCCTTTTTGCAGGGGAATTGGTAAACAAGGCTATCAATGTCAAGGTATGTGTTTTTGCTTCAGACTAAACGGAAAACCAGAGCAGCTCAGCTCTGGCGCTTCGGAGCTCCAGGAAGAGCCCCCGACAAGCTATATCCAATCCATATCACTTTGCATTTGCTTGTTACGTTCGTTGTACGTTGTACGTTGTTCGTTATTCGTTGTTTGCTGTTGTTGTCGTTGTTGATGTTGTTGCCATTGGGTTTCTTTGGCTTTAAGATCAATTATGTTTTTTTTTTCACCATACTCTGAAATTCCGAAGCGGAATCGATTGCTCCACATATGTTCAGTCTTCAGCATTGTCCAATGCATCGATCACATAGCTTGAGTCATGTTTGCCTCGGAACAGCCAAGTGTCCTGGCACAGGTCCTGTCCCCGCTGCACCATTAATCGATCTGGATGAGTCCCGTCATCGTTCCCATCACATTGCATTTGAAATTCACGTATGAAGAGGAATGCAAGTTTTGTACTACTAATTTACTTAAAATCAGATCGGAATTGCTAGAAGTTTTATAGTCTTTTTAAAATTTACTAGAATTATAGAATATATATATTAAAAGCATATTAAAGTTCGTCCGTCATTTATCCGATACTTTTCTTAACTTTTCATTGTCTTGCATGCCAAACTTTCAATCTTGGATTTAAAATCTTTAATAAAATTGTAATTCTATGACATAAAAAACGCTCGAACTATGCAAATTTCAGTGATATGGGGGACCTTTAAAATGTCACTAAACATCAAAAAGAGGGTATTTAATAATTGTATCATTGGGTCATACGAATGCAATATCATCATAAAAGATACTTCTTGCATGATACAAATGAACTGTCTGTTTTTGGAATAGGTTCATTTAAATATTAAATAAAAGAGCAATTTAAAATGGGAACGGATAAACGAAATTTATCAGAGAAATCTTCTTCTAGGGATAAAACATATATTTATAGCTAAAATAGGACATCGTTTTCTTTACTTGTATTCATTTTTATCATAGATGTCAACTGCTTAAAAGGCTTCTTCCGTCATATCTCTCTTTTCTAAGTAGTTTTGGCTCCAATATCTGGCACGAAGCATTTAAATGTTGTGATTAAAACCGGAACACTAATTAGAGCACAGACACAGACCAAGCACAACTTAACTCCACTGACCAACATGTGAATAATCACACACTGCACAACAAACAAAACAATCGACGGTTTATCAACTAATTTCTGTCCATCCAATCGTGATATTCGAAACGGATCCAGTGTCCATTTTCTTTCAAAATCAATTGAATGTCACGAATGGGGACTTTGTGTCTAACCCTGAATGTTTCAACGAGCTTGATTTAAACAATATTTTGTAAATATATACACATTCGTTTGTCTAGAGTTTGAGCTCAGAAAAAATCGTCCTGCAAAGAACAAAATTTATATATGTATGATACAAAACGTAAGTTCCTTAAAATATATAAAAAAAAAACTTAAATAAAAAAAACCAGAGGCTGGCTTAAATTTGGTTTTATAATCAAGTTCATTTTAGCGGAATTTTGTTTTTACAATAATGGCTTATCACTTTAAATTAATGTCTTTACAAAAAAAATGCCTTCATTTAAAAACAAATTTTTTTATATGGAATTTATATTCATTGTACTAGACAGAATTATAATTGTTTTTAACCCTACAGATAGATTTTTTTTGTTAGCATCAGGGTGTTATTTTTTCTGAGCCCATAGTTTTCATAGAGTTTTTGGATACTTTGCCCTGCACTCTGCCATCGATGAATTCTCGAAGCGTTCAGTTTGGCCAGTTTGGATATTAATTCTTTGATTTCTCTCCCCCAAAACACTTCTAGTCTGCACGTTAGTTGTACATAAAAAATGCCACCTGTCCGTGGTGTCCAAGTGTCCGGGCATGCGAGATGAGGTAAGTTGCTCTGCAGTAACCCATCCAGATCTTGAGGAGCTAATGGAGTGTTGTTTTTGGCGTGTTGAAGCAGCAGACCAAAGTGGAGGTGGTGCCGGCGGGCCAGGGCCAGCGCTTCAATGTGAACGTACCGCATCGCTTCGTAGTGCACAGCTACAAGCGGTTCACCTTCTGCGACCACTGCGGCTCCCTGCTGTACGGGCTGATCAAGCAGGGACTGCAGTGCGAGACCTGCTGCATGAACGTGCACAAGCGGTGCCAGAAGAACGTGGCCAACACGTGCGGCATCAACACGAAGCAGATGGCCGAGATCCTCAGTTCGCTGGGCATTTCGCCGGACAAGCAGCAGCCGCGTCGCTCCAAGTACTTGAACCAGCAGGGCGGCGAGGACAACTACGGGGCCTCGTTGGGCGGCGACGGCGACGGGGCACCCGGCCAGTCCTTCCGCAGTGGCACACTATCGGCGGACAGCCTGGCCACCTCCACCACAACGCTGACCAGTGGCTACAACAGCAGCAGCTGCATGAGCCTGCCGGTGGCCACAGGCGAGACTCGGCCGGGGAAGTGCTCCCTGCTGGACTTCAACTTCATCAAGGTGCTGGGCAAGGGCTCCTTCGGCAAGGTGATGCTGGCCGAGAAGAAGGGCACCGACGAGATCTATGCCATCAAGGTGCTCAAGAAGGACGCGATCATCCAGGACGACGACGTCGACTGCACCATGACCGAGAAGCGCATCCTGGCGCTGGCCGCCAACCATCCCTTCCTGACTGCGTTACATTCCTGTTTCCAGACCCCGGACCGCCTCTTCTTCGTGATGGAGTATGTCAATGGCGGCGATCTGATGTTCCAGATACAGAAGGCGCGTCGATTTGAGGCCTCACGGGCCGCCTTCTATGCGGCGGAGGTGACACTGGCGCTGCAGTTCCTCCACACCCACGGCGTCATCTACCGCGACCTGAAGCTGGACAACATCCTGCTCGACCAGGAGGGCCACTGTAAGTTGGCCGACTTTGGCATGTGCAAGGAGGGCATCATGAACGGGATGCTGACCACCACCTTCTGTGGCACGCCCGACTACATCGCCCCGGAGATCCTCAAGGAGCAGGAGTACGGCGCCTCCGTCGACTGGTGGGCGCTGGGCGTGCTCATGTACGAGATGATGGCCGGCCAGCCGCCGTTCGAGGCGGACAACGAGGACGAGCTCTTCGACTCCATCATGCACGACGACGTCCTCTATCCGGTTTGGCTATCCCGCGAGGCCGTCTCCATACTAAAGGGTGAGCATTCTGTCTAACTTGACCCACTTTCGTACATCTATACTTTTACTTACTATACCTTCATGTTAAACTTATTATCATTATTTAATATTCAATAAATTCATTTAATTTAATATTTTTGATATAATATTTCAATTACAAATAGAAATGATTAGAAATCGATTATTTTTGATCCTGTTTCGAAAATTGTCTAAAAGTATTACTCATACGAAAAATATGACAAGGTTCAATAGTAAACAGCATCAGGGAAATCTTTTTGGTTAAAATTTGGCTTACATTTTTCTGTGCATCATAATATGTACATACATTCCAACCGAGTCTCAGCCAAAGAGATTTCTGTGCATTTTTATCCTAGTTTATACAAGCAAGTTGCTAATATGTCGCATGTTTAATTTTTCTAAGAAAAATTGTGTTGGCAAATGCACTGCAATAGGCAGTTTTGAGCACCCTAAAGCACATATATACATCCTTATCTAAGTATAACCGCCATAAAATTTCGACACTAAAATATAACATATCCTTTGGTTTATGCAGGTTTTCTAACCAAGAATCCGGAGCAGCGATTGGGTTGCACTGGCGACGAGAACGAGATACGCAAGCATCCATTTTTCAACAAGCTGGACTGGAAGGAGCTGGAGAAGCGCAACATAAAGCCACCATTCCGACCGAAAATGGTGATTATTAAGAAATATATTTTGATTAAAGCATTATCTATACTACTTTGTCACACAGAAAAACCCACGAGACGCCAACAACTTCGATGCGGAGTTCACCAAAGAGGATCCTGTACTCACACCGATCGGAAACGACGTTGTGCGCTGCATCAACCAGGACGAGTTCGCCGGCTTCTCGTTTGTGAATCCCAAGTTCGGACCGGAGCGCAAAGTCTACTAAGGCCCAACGATCGCAAATCATATTCAAAAGCCAGTTTGATTGGTCGCGCTGCGATCTGGAGCCCCGATTAGATTGGGAATCCCGTTCGGCGAGGGTGGCCATCCAGATCGCCATCGATCCGAGCTGTCATCCAGCGTGTAGCGCATCCCCTAGCACAAGCAGTCTAAAAGTTTAATTTATAGTAACTTCCGCTCCCCATTGTTGTCTGTTTCCACCCGTAGTCGTGGTCCTCGTTTCGGTTCCGGTCCTGCGTGTAGATCACTCATCCACATCCAACTACCAGTGCCAATTGTCAAAACTGCTAAGCTTTCAAGTTGAACTAAAGGTGCAAAAGGACGCGAATTCTTTAGCTCTTGTCACCCGAACTTCCCTACGCCCCAAAAAAAAACCTTAACCGCTTCAAGCCCCACACCTGTTGGAATTTATTTATGTTGTTTGCCAGGCCCCAAAAAACAAAAAACAAAAAAACAAAAACAGAAACCCCCACCCCATCTAGTCAATGCCCAGTGGCTGAGTGCATTTTGTTATTAGTTATTTATTGATTGTTTGACGTGTCGAATCTCAAGTTTCGCACTTACAGACCGACAGAATCCAAGCAGAGCTCTATTTATGGGAGGCGAGGCACTTGCTCCAAGCGAATCTCAAGGGAATTTCTAACACAATAGCCGCAATGTGCCCTCTGTGCTATACACACACATACACACACAATACATACGACCACGAAAATCTAATTTCAATTTGTTTTATGTATTCGAAATCCTGCACAACTTCCTTCTCAAGTATTAAAGCGATATTATTTTAAAATAACCTTATTGTTATACATAAATATTTATAAAAATGAAAAACAAAACAAAACAAAATGAAGCCAAAAAGCCCCTAATACAAACGCATACAATTTACCAACAAAGAGAAAGTAAAGCTAACTAATCATAGAGATAAAGCTAAAACCCACAAAGAGAATGTCTATAAAATTCATATTAATTTATGCTAAACAAATTATGAATACAAGCCACAAAACGTGTTTAGTCTGTAAGCGAAAGAAGATAAGAACAAACAAATCGTGTATATATACATATATATAAATCTATATATATATATATATATATATATATATATATATATATATACATTTGAACCATATAAATTGTGAAACTAAAGAAGAACCCACAAACACTTAGCGTAATGAGGAAAAGCCGAACAAAAATTATATGGAAATTATGTGGCATAGGAAGATAGGAACCACAACAACAATATTATCGTTTATGTGTTGATTTTAAAGCCAAAGACTCAAAGCTAAGTTCTATTCGCAAACCGCGTTCAAATTGAAGTATAATGCATCGAAATTTGATCGGTATCCGTTAAATGTTAATACTATTATTATTTACTTTATAGCTAATTTTGTGCGGCTAAATTTGTTTCTGTTTCGATTTCAGTCTACCACAGCAAGAGAAATTATGCTAAAAGAAATCATTAATGAATATATATAATATTAATTATAAATATGGAATAGCAAAGGAAGGTAAACAGAAGATTTATTAACTATAAGCAGCGTTGTTAACTAAAAAACGTAAGGCAAAGGCAAGCATAAATACACATTTGTATGTAATAATAAACGCCCAGTGTCTAATAATATTTGTGCGCTAGTTACCCATTTACAATTTAAATGTTAACCCAAAGTATTTTCAAGAACGCATTTTACCAAAAAACCGAAGAAAAAAAGAGAGAAAGAAAAAGAAAAACAAACAACAAGCAAAAGTAACAAAAACACAAAGAATTGAAGGAGGAGTATAGGCAAAATGTTAAAAGCTATGAATAATTTTTTAAGCAATGCGCTCGAGGGCCGTTGCAAGGATAGAGGCGCGTATTCAATTAAAACTAAATGATAAAAACAAGCAAAATAAAGCAAAGCAAACTCCAGCCAACAAGATGAACTCATATGAACATAGAACCTAAGCCAGGGATCAGGAATAGGTCAAGGAAATAACTTAAATTCGCTGGTTGTTGTTAAGCAGAGAACAGACAAAAGGGTAAATATAATAGGAGAGAAACTGACGAGGGAATAGAACAAATCGCGTGACCGTAACCTGACAACAAACGTAAACGTTAAACTTATAGGAAAATGAAAATGTGCAACCAAAAATGTTAGCTATAAGCTCTCACCAAATATGCAAAGCTGAACGCTCCCCCCAAAAATGCCCGCTGTTGTCTCCATCTACCATCTACCACTTACTAAAAAACCCGAATCTTATGCTAAATATATCATGGCTTGCCAAAGAGGGTCCTTGAACTAATCTCTAAACTCTGAATGTACTCACTCGATCAGCTTAGCTAACTTTTTCTGGAGCCATGCAGCTCAATCAAACACACACCAGATTACATACATACATACATATGTGCAACTTTTTCATGTACCTTTCGCATCTTAGATTCTTAAATGGATTATTAACGGAAGCCCCAAAACAAATTGTTAACTGATCTAAGGCAAAACTACACACAAACTACTATGAAAATATACTGAATTATTTATGGAACGGCGTTGAAAACTAAAGCGCAACAAAGAGAGAGGAGGTTTAGAAATTGGCGTAATCATTGCAAGAGTAATAATCTCAAACAAAAAGTATTCAGAGAAACACACACAAATAAAATCACACAAAAATCAGAAGAAAAACCAAACTAAAACTGAGCAAAATAACGGCATAAATAAAGTTTAAGTTATGTTTAAACAAGAGATAAATAACTGTAACGGTAAAGTCGAAAGTCAACAGTTGATATGTTGTAAAAAAGCTATTAAATAAAATAAAAAATAAAAAAGAAAAACAAAAAAGGAAATGATTACCAAGGCAGGCAAGTGAGCGTAATTGAATGTTAAAGAAGCTACTAAATAAAGGTATGAGCAGATGTGTGCAAAGATAACCAAAGAAAGCAAAATTGAAAACAAGAAAAATTGATTTATAACATTAAGTGAAAACTAATTAATAAATAAAGAGGTAACACCTATGAAAAATGTAACCGATCTTGTTTGAATTTGAGTATAACAGCATTGACCGTTGCGAAACTGGAAAGCTAGGGCGAGCGGTTAACATGATTAAGGGTTTATATAACTAGCCCAAAGATTATATTGCTAAAAACACCTATTATTTAATAGTTATTAGTTATTTATAGCATTATTCTAAATTGATTCCAAATTATAATTAACAAAGCGCTATAAATTTGAATTAAAGGACAAGCCCGCCTTTAGCGGTTAACAGCTTCTGTTAAACAAGTGTTATTGCTGGCGCGCTCATCTCTAGTGGCTGTTAACTAGCAGTGCACATGTTGCCATCCCAAGAAGAAGAAGAAAAGTCAAAACAAATAAATATCTATTGAAATTTGTTAATTTTAAAGGCCAAAAACAATTACTAGACAAGATGCCAAAGGTCAAAACGGAAAAGAAGAGTCGCATACACACCGAGGTGCAGAAGCAGGGTCAGTACTTAAACCGAAACTTTCACAACTTACTGGTAAACAATACAACGAATCATTGTTCATCGGCGGAAAACTATTTTTCCTACAGGAATCGTGTTCAACAAGGACTTTGGACAGCACATTCTGAAGAATCCCCTGGTGATAACCACCATGCTGGAGAAGGCTGCCCTACGAGCCACCGATGTGGTGCTGGAAATCGGTCCCGGCACGGGAAACATGACCGTTAAGATGCTGGAGCGGGCCAAGAAGGTCATAGCCTGCGAGATTGACACCCGCTTGGCCGCCGAACTGCAGAAGCGTGTTCAGGCCACGCCGCTGCAGCCGAAGCTCCAGGTGCTCATCGGGGACTTCCTGAAGGCGGAGCTGCCCTTCTTCGATCTGTGCATCGCCAACGTGCCCTACCAGATCAGTTCGCCGCTGATCTTCAAGCTGCTGCTCCACCGGCCACTCTTCCGCTGCGCCGTGCTCATGTTCCAGCGCGAATTCGCCCAGCGATTGGTGGCCAAGCCGGGCGACAAGCTCTACTGCCGCCTCAGCATTAATACCCAACTGCTGGCCCGCGTCGATATGCTGATGAAGGTGGGCAAGAACAACTTCAAGCCGCCGCCAAAGGTCGAGAGCAGTGTGGTGCGGCTGGAGCCGAAGAACCCACCGCCACCCGTCAACTTCACCGAATGGGATGGCCTCACGCGGATCGCCTTTCTGCGCAAGAACAAGACGCTGGCGGCCACCTTCAAGGTCACCTCCGTGATGGAGATGCTCGAGAAGAACTACAAGCTGTACCGTTCGCTCAGGAACGAGGTGAGTCAAGTTCTAAAGCCTTAAAATGCCTTTTTTCAATAATTTTTTTTTGTTACTTATAAATTACCTGCAAAATAAAAAAAAATAATTTTAGAAAATTCGAAACTTCTACCCATATATACCTATACATTTTCAACGAATGCTTAACTTTTCTCATGAAACTAATAAATTCATTTTCCTAAGCCCGTCGAAGATGATTTCAACATGCAGGAGAAAGTCATCGGTATCTTGGAAGAACAGAATATGGCCAGTAAACGTGCGAGAAGCATGGACATTGACGACTTTATGAAGCTCCTGCTGGCTTTTAATTCAGCTGGCATACACTTTAATTAGTTTTATTATTAGTTCGTCTAACTTTGTACAATTTTATTAACATTATTATAATGTTAAGCCAACAAACTTCAGTTGTTTTTTTATATCCAAACTGGTTCTGTTCTAATACAGTAGATATACATTGACAAACCCAGTTATAATATGAAATCAGTACGGGAAAATCCATACTATGAATATATGTTGAATCTTGTTGACAATTTAAAAATATTTATTTGAGCAATATCTTTGTTAAAAATATTTTTATATATTTATTGGCTTAATTAAGTAAGATTTTCCACATTAATAGCTACTGTATATAGAATGGAATCAGCTGATCAGTGTTTAATGCCGGAGAGCGGTGTTTATAAAGTGCGCAATTGAAAACTAGCTGATTAAATTTGATTTGAATAGTCGCCGGTGGACCACGATCGAGAACAAATCAATAACATGGCAATGCAAACGCTTAGAATTGCTTTGCCGCTGATGTTTTTCCTCAGCACCGGCCTTGTCTACGGCCAAAACCCGGATCCAGCCGCCCAGCTTGGTAAGAGCCATATGTGTAAACCAAATCATTGGTATAACTTATTTAAAATAAGTATTTTCTATTTACTTTAGCCTGCACAAAATTCAAACAGATTGTTTTCGAGGAACGTGTGGCCTTCAGCTTCTTTTTCAACGATGCACCGATTACCTACGAAACGGTTGACTCTTGTCATGGATCAAGACCCCTAATTGTAGATGGTACGCCGGCAGAGCCCAAGGAGTTCCCCCATGCAGCTCGACTTGGCCACCGGGATGCTAACAACGAAACCAAGTGGTTCTGTGGTGGAACCTTGATAAGCAATCGCTTGGTTCTTACTGCGGCACACTGCTTATTTTCCATACAGTAAGTATGAAATGAAAGTATATTGAAAATGTTGTACTTCTACGTTATTATAAACTTATTGTGTATTAATGATTTTCAGACATTAATTTAATAATAGTTTTCAAGCTTTATTTTTCAACCTCCTGAGTAACGAATTATATTTCCACAGCGGAAATGTAAATGTTGTGCGTTTAGGTGAACTGGAGTTTGATACCGATGAGGACGATGCTGAGCCGGAGGACTTTGGTGTGCTTAGTTTGACGGCACATCCAGGCTTCGAGAACCCCGCCCTCTACAATGACATCGCGATCGTTAAACTTGACCGGGAAGTCAAGTTCAACAGGTACAAGCATCCTGCCTGCTTGCCCTTCGACGACGGCGAGAAACACGAGTCATTCATCGCCATCGGCTGGGGCCGGAAAAAGTTTGCACAGAAGGAGTCGAAGAAGCTGCTGAAGGTTCAGCTCCAAGGATATGGTGACAGGTGTGTGAGCACAACGGAAGCGAATGAAGAACTGCCCAAGGGGTACGAGCCCAGAAGCCAGCTGTGCATTGGATCAAAGGACGAAAAGGACACCTGCAACGGCGACTCCGGAGGCCCAGTGCTGGCCAACCACAAGGTTCTGCCTTGCATGCACCACGTAATGGGCATCACATCGGCCGGCATTGGTTGCTCCACACCCGATATTCCCAGTCCCTACACAAGGGTCCACTATTTCCTCAACTGGATTAAAGGCGAACTGGCCAAGCAGACATAAAGTCATTTAAAGGCTTTTTCATGGACTTCAAGCAGGGTTCTCGGAAAACCACAAGCTATTAATTAATAATTGCAAATACACCGGCTATTTAAATTGGTTGGTTCAACAAACCTGTTTTAAATTTAAATAGAATTGAGCTTTTCAGGTTTGAATTTCCACAGAATTTGTTAATAGATTTTGAAGTCGTAACAAGTTTTAAAGAATAAAATTGATAAATGCATGTGTTTTTCAATTTTTTGCAAGACCCAAAAACAATTTAACATATAATATTTCCTGGTTATCAAATTGGATTTGTTTTGCATTGAATTTCTGCTTGCATAAACCGCATATAATTTCTTATCGACAAAAACGCGAATTTTCCCAGTGTTTATTAGCTCTCCTGAGGTGATCACACTTAGGCAGGTCTCAAAGAGAAGCTCATTGACAACCAATAATGGTTTTAGTTGCTCACCGATCGTAGAGGCGGCCACACGATGAAAAGTGCGTTCTCTGGCAAGCTTGTTCTACTGGAAGCAATCTTGCTGATCCTATCAGTCGACTGGATAAGTTCTCAAGATCCGGATATAGTAAGAAGTAGGCGATGATGCATCATATCTCAAGAGATAAAGATCTTTTTAGTAAAATCATGTACTTCACAGCCTGTACAGCGTATAAGAAGAGCGTTTGGGAGGAGACATCTGAGTTCGGTTTCCTATTGGAGGGGTCTCCCTCTATCTTCAAGACCTCGGACAAATGCACGAGCTATGCACCGCTTATAATCGGAGGAGGCCCCGCTCTGCCCAAGGAGTTTCCGCACGCCGCCCGCCTGGGACACCGAAGCGATGATGATAATGGCCAGCTGGAATGGTTTTGTGGCGGAACACTTATCAGCAACCGGCATGTGCTGACTGCAGCGCACTGTCACTTCTCGACTGTGTACGTATTTTTCTAATCACCAACAACATCTTACTAAATTATAGCATATCATTTCTAAATCCGATCATAACTGTTAAAATTTGTAAACATTTTTACTGGCACTTGGTGGTCTAGGATCTATCAATGTTTGCTTATATATTTTTTTTGGATAAATTTTACAACATATTTATTTTCTTTATTTTTTATTGAAAGTGATGTATTTAGGTAATTGTTTCATAGCTTCCGGACATAAAAAATGGAAAAAAAATACATTTATGGAGGAGTACATTTTGTGTACTGAATAGATATAGAAGTTTGAGAAAATTTGGGTGAATAGTTTTTTTTTTTATCTTAAAAATTTTGTTTTAAATTTGTATCTTACTAGCGCTTTAATGGTAATTTAAATAAAAATTTGTTTAGAGGTTCAGTGAATATTGTTCGCCTTGGGGATCTGGAGTTCGACACCAACACTGACGATGCCGACCCGGAGGACTTTGAGGTAAAGGACCACACACTACACCCCGACTATAGCTACCCGGCCCTTTACAACGACATCTCCGTGGTGCGGTTGAGCAAAGCGGTAACCTTCAACGAGTACAAGCATCCTGCCTGCCTTCCCTTCGCCGACGGCCGTTCCGTGTCCTCCTTCATCGCCATCGGCTGGGGTCAATTGGAGATCGTGCCTCGCACCGAGAACAAGAAGCTGCAGAAAGTGAAGCTCGACAATTACAACACGCGGTGCACGATCACGACGGAAAAGAATGAGGAGCTTCCCGAGGGCTATAACCACACAACCCAACTTTGCATTGGATCCACCAAGCACAAGGACACCTGCAACGGCGACTCCGGCGGGCCGGTGCTGATCTACCACAATTCCTTCCCCTGCATGTACCATGTTATGGGTATCACATCCGTTGGACTGTCCTGCGACACCCCTGATCTGCCCGCCATGTACACAAGGGTGCACTTCTATCTGGACTGGATTAAGCGGCAGCTAGCCAAGATTTAGTAAATCAGAACCATACAAGAAAAGCCATGACAAAATTAAACAAGTGCCAATATTGTAGGTAAAGTATTCAACGAGGTTTGTTATTTAACAATTTATTAGAAAAATTGTATGTAATTAAATAATAAAAAATTATGATGATGTTTGCCTATAACTATTTAAAAGAAAATACATTTGTTGATAAGTAAGCGAGGTTTAGCATTTTTGAAATAGTCCCAAAATGGCTTTGTCTCAACTTTATTTCTCTATTAATCATAATTAAAATTTTAAGCTAAGCCAAAATGTTCAGAGACTTAAAAAGGCGCCTAAACACTAGTGTTTCTCATTGATAATTATTTAAAATTTTTCTAAATATATTCATTGCCCGGTAAAGCTCACTCCGCAAATCAATTATTGTCTTTCTATTTGCATACGAAAGTAAACAAAACGGTTTACTGGTGGGCGAAACGTTTGAAGAGCGGGGATTTTGTATTAGCTTTTACCCGCTTGAACCCCGCCTTCAAATTCACTGGGTGATTCCACAGCTGACTAATTGGGAGCAAAACCCGTTCGGATCACACAGTCGTTTACCGATCGTCACCAGAAGATGTGGACGCCTTGGCAATTTGCCCTGTTGATTATTCCGCTGGCATGTGCTTTTGGCCAGCATCCGGATATGGATATAGTCAGGTGTAAGTGGATATATGTTTTGGTAACAAAACTCCTTATTTAAGAACATTGCACTACTTAAATATATAAATACAATCGTTCTTAATGCTTATTTTTACACTTTGAATACATTTTAAAGATGGTTAGAGTTATTAAGTCAATTAAGTTTAAATCAAAATATAATCAAGCTCGCAAAACTATTGTTCTTAGTTATATCGTTAATCAACCCAAATAAATCCTCTTCAGCCTGCACGAGATATAAGAAGAGTGTTTTTGAGGAGACAATCGACTATGGTTTCCTGCTCCCAGGTGCTCCAATTGAGAGACGGGTCATCGATAATTGCAGGAGCTACACGCCCCTAATTGTGGGTGGTCATCCGGCCCAGCCTCGGGAATTTCCGCACATGGCACGCTTGGGACGTCGACGAAGTCTGGACACCCGTACCGACTGGTTTTGTGGTGGCGTTCTGATCAGCGAGCGGTTCGTCTTAACCGCTGCCCACTGCCTGGAATCGGAACAGTAAGTACCCAAGACCAGAAAGAAATAATAAACCGGTGGTTTTTTGCGGTCTAGAGATCGGGTTAAGCCAATATACTGCATTTCTAATCAATTTAATACTTTTAATTTAAATAAGAAATTTTTTATTTTATTATTTTAATCACAATATATATGTCCATGTACATGAACATGGATCATATTTAAAGAATATTTTCTTTTCAGGGGAGAGGTAAATGTTGTGCGATTGGGCGAACTGGATTTTGATACGTACAATGATCATGCGGCCCCCAAGGACTATGTTGTCGCTGGGTATATAGTCCATCCAGGATATGAGGATCCGCAGTACTACCATGATGTAGGACTTATTAAGCTGAAAGAGGATGTAATCTTCGATGTGTATAAGCATCCCGCCTGCCTCCCGTTTCGGGATGAACGCTTTTCCGACTCCTTTATAGCCGTTGGCTGGGGAAGCACGGGACTGGCGGTGAAGCCCTCAGCCAAACTGCTAAAAGTCAAGCTGGAGCGATACAGAGATGGGGTATGTTTACATAAATCATTACTTAAAAGGTAGTTTTAATTCAAATCCCTTTAGGTGTGCAAAAAGCTGCTTAGCCGACAACTGGAGGAATTCCCGCGAGGATTCGATGCGAGTAACCAACTCTGTGTGGGTTCCGAAATGGCCCGGGACACCTGTAACGGAGACTCCGGCGGTCCTCTGTTGATTTACCATCAGGAATATCCTTGCATGTACCATGTGGTAGCAATTACATCGGCCGGATTATCCTGCGGCACTCCGGGAATTCCCGGAATATACACCCGGGTGTACCCTTATCTGGACTGGATAACCAAAACCATGGATAAATTTTAAAAATCTATCAATAAATTATATTATTTTGTCGAACTACAAAACCAATTCAATCAGTCTTGATTGGGAAATTTTTGGAAATGGTTAAAATTAAAATTAGAGACAAATCCAAAGAGCTTAACAAGAAATACAACAGTTTTTTTAAATACAAAATATTATTTAATTTTTGTAGTTAATGAAAAAAAATGAGTTTCTATTTTACAAATAATACTTATAACAAATTTCACAATAATTAAAAAAGCATTAAATTTAGTTTCGAAATAAAAAATAAAAACGTAAATAATATGTTTAACCTACACTTAACAATTAATGAAAGAGACGGTTTTTTATTTCTGGTAACGGTAACAGTGCGATTAATTTAGAATCACCCGATGGTGACTGCTCTGCATCCCTGCAACATCGATAGTCCAAACCTATCGATTGCGCATCGATAGTTGTTTACCTTTTTTTCCCTAAAAAAAGAAACATTTACAAAACAAAAGTTGTCGCTGGATTGCAAATTACCAATGGCCAGAGGCATGCAGCTACATGGCAAATAAAATGTAAGCGGATATCCTGCGCTGGAAACCACATCACACTTTACCGTTCCCGGATGCGCTGCACACTAATTTGAGGCCCCGCATAATTGCCAATTGTGCCGGATCATGGAGCAGGATCAGGTCAAGGATGTGGAGCAGGAGCAGCACATGGAGATGGAGCCGAAGCCGGAGATGGACGTGGCGCAGGCTTATATAACACGGGCCAAGATGAATCCTGCCAAGAAGGACAATGAGAAGCGGCGACGCAAGGATGCCATGCGAAGGGTAATTACTGCGCTTGTGTGTGTGTGAGTGCGCACTGCTAGTGTGTGTGTTTTGAACCCTTGCAAAGAAGGTTTCAATTTTGACCACTATTTGGTTTTCATATTGCAATTATCTTTGGAAAACATCAGTATAAGTTAGCTCTTTAATGTTTAACAAAAAGCACTTATTACGCAGATCCCTTGTGGCTGTCTTTGTCATTACCAAATCCCAAATCAAACCGAAGTTTGCAATTTCAATGGTAAACTTTTCTAAAGATTTTTCTAAAATTATTTATACAAGTACCATAGAAAATAAAGATTTAACTTATTACCCAGATCATTGGCAGATGTCTATGCTATTAATATTATTATAAATATCATGTAAAGTGTTCCAAAAACAACCTACGAACTTTTTTATTAAAAACCCCTTTAAATTATAAAAACAATCTAATACCGTGGGAAAAATGACGACTTATTTAAAAAAAGATTTATTAATCTATGATAATCTAAGATTTATGAATCTTATGGAATACTCCAAACTATCCCTTTTGCTCTAAACACTAAACCCTTAAAATGTTATTCCAGGTGTCGATGATATTGCGGAAATGCGACTCGCTGCGCTCGACGAGCGACAGTCAGTTCCTGGAGAAGCATCCGGACATCGTGAAGGCGACGAAGAAGCGCAAGGAACGCGTGGAGATCTACAAGGAGCGGGTGGTGGAACGCGAGGATGCGCCGCACGTGATCGAGGCGAAGGTGGAGCAGCTGGCCAACATTATTTCGCAGGCCAAGCACTTGGTTTGCTATACGGGAGCCGGGATAAGTACGGCAGCTCTGATTCCAGACTATCGCGGCAGCCAGGGCATCTGGACGCTGCTCCAGAAAGGCCAGGAGATCGGGGAACACGATCTGTCGAGCGCGAACCCCACTTACACACACATGGCACTCTACGAGCTGCATCGCCGAAGACTTCTGCATCATGTGGTGTCCCAAAACTGCGATGGCCTGCACCTGCGATCCGGGCTGCCGAGGCATTCGCTTTCCGAAATCCATGGGAACATGTATGTGGAGGTGTGCAAAAACTGCCGACCGAATAGCGTCTACTGGCGCCAGTTCGACACCACGGAGATGACCGCCCGCTACTGCCACAAGACCCACCGCCTGTGCCACCGCTGCTCGGAGCCGCTGTACGACACCATTGTGCACTTCGGGGAGCGGGGGAACGTCAAGTGGCCGCTGAACTGGGCGGGAGCCACTGCGCATGCGCAGCGGGCGGATGTGATCCTCTGTCTGGGCTCTAGTCTCAAGGTGCTCAAGAAATACACATGGCTGTGGCAGATGGATCGACCTGCCCGCCAGCGGGCTAAGATCTGTGTGGTTAACCTGCAGTGGACGCCCAAGGACGGGATAGCCAGTATCAAGATCAATGGGAAATGCGATCGGGTGATGGCGCAACTGATGCACCTACTACACATTCCAGTGCCCGTATACACTAAGGAAAAGGATCCCATTTTCGCGCATGCTTCGCTTTTGATGCCCGAGGAGCTGCACACGCTAACGCAACCACTGCTGAAGAACGCCGACGAGGAGGAGGCCTTCACCACCACCACCGAGGAAACACAAGACTCGACCATCTCCAGCGAGAGCTGCAGCTACAACTACAGCGACCTGCCCATCGGAAAGGGTCCTCGCATCCGCACACCCATCAAGAATGGACGAAGGGTCAAAACCAACCTGGAGCTGCGTCAGAAATTCAAAGTGATCAATGGCCAGGATGAGGAGATTAAGGTGGAGGAGGCGGAAACCAATGGGGAGGTAAAAACGGAGACTGACTCCATCACGCAGCTTAAGGATTCATCCATTAAAACAGAGACTGAAGTAAAACTGGAAAAAATAGAAAGCCAGGACACCAATTTTAAGCAAGAGTTGAATCTTCTAGAGCTGCTGCCCAAGCTCGAACCTCTTTCCCTTAAAGAAGAACCAGAGGAGACGGTGAACAATGGTTTCCTGGAGCTGCCCAAGCTAGTCGCCATACAAAAAACTCATGGGAAAAGTTTTAGTGCGCACCCTATTGAGCTGAGATTGGAGCCAGTTCAGCTGCCACCGCTGGTGCCCATTGGAGCGCCGCTGTCGACGCCCTTTGTGGAGCCCAAGTTAGTGCTGCCGCCTGCCTTTCAGACGCTCAACATTCAGGTCCAGAGCGATGGCGACTCCACCACAGAGAATGAGAACGAAGAGGAGGTGGAGGAGCAGGAGGAGAAAATAGAACTGGCCCAGATGGATTTGCTAAGGCAGAACAGCGATGAAGAGTTGCTCCGCCAGCTGCCGACCTGGTACGATGCCAAGTACGCGTACTCCGGCCTGCACAGCATCCTGATACCGCCGCCAGCGGATCTGAACATCTGGAACTCGCAGGTGGTCCCGAACTTTGCGATGAACCGATCCGCCGCCAGCTGTGACTTCTGCTTCGATCGCTATGCGGAGCTAGAGTGCCAGTTCTATCGGCGGTGGAACCTCAGCCAGCGCAAGCACAAGAAACGAGCCAGGAGCGGTCGGTTCGTGGTCTGCGATTGCTGTCCAACGTCCGACGACGACGATGACTATGACGAGAATATATCCCTGGCGCACATCGCAGCGGCGGAAACGGCCAAGCGAAGGCAGCAGCTGAGCACGAGTTTCCCCGGAAACTGGCACGCACCCAAGCGGGATGGTATGGCAAGGGCTACAAGAAGGGACGAAAACGAAGGTAGATCGCCAAATGCTGAACCCAATCCTATACGGCCGTGATCCTATCCCCATAAACTAGGGTGGGTCGAATTACTGAAGAGCTGGCAGCACATCATTGAAAACTGGATTGTTTCTAGGAATAATTCAAGATCTAGAGCAACAAATTGACCTGCCCTAACCGAGACATATGCTCGCTTCAATAGTATTTTAGCTATAGGATAATAAGTCATAGCTTAGAAGGTAGTGCCAGCTAGCATAGTTTGGGGTTACGTTTTCATAATTTATACAAGTTTTTTAATGTCACATCTGCGTGTCCTTGTCTTTTAGGATTATATTTTACCTACGTCAATGTCACTCAGTTTTTGTCTATTTTAAGTTATTTATTAAGTCTTTTATTTAATTATGTAATTGTGTAACTTAATGTGTCTCAATTGTGAAACTCTTGACTTTGTATGGCAGTTTATGTCAGTTAATCAGTTAAATTGCTTTTATATTTTAGGGTTTTAATAACCACGCTTACAACCCATCTTCCGCCCTTAAATATTTAAGTTAAATAAACAAAAAAAGGCATTATGGTACAATGAAATCATGTCGTCTTTTACTCCGAATCTTTCCAGCGTCATGTTGTCAATATAATTACATTTAAATACAACACTATAAATCTCTTCAAAAATCAAAACTGCAATCGATTCGCTTTCATTATCTGTGTAGAACCAAGTTTATTGATTAACTTAAACTTAAAGTATTGCTATTTTAGTTGTAGTTTTGCGATCGCGTGTGTGTGAGTGCTTGTGTGTGATTACGTATTCCATGTTTAGAATGACCGGAAGCGGATAATTGGCTTCCGCTCAACCTTCAGGAGGTTTCAATCCCTGCGTGGGTGTGTGAGTCTCACGTGGAACATTGCAAAATACCCAAGAATCAACAGAAGACCAGGCAACGGAAACAAACAAGGGAGAACTACACACATAGAAAACAGCAGGTTGATTAGATTAACGCTATCGATCGATATTACTCGGGGGCAGGGCGTGGGCATGGGCGTGGATTTTTCAGGGTGCAAATACCGCACAAAACATAATACCTAGAGCTACGCCGAAGCAGCCAGTGGGCCAATATAAAAATACAAAGTTTCACAAATACAAATACCAATACAAATACAGATATGAATACAGGACGTGGATACGAGAAGCGGTGCCGATTGAAATATGGGTCTTTTAAATGCTCTGAGGACGCAATGTCAGCAGCGAATCACGTTTCCATATAATACAATTATCCAATTCCATAGACAGAAATAGGGCGCGTGCTTTGAGCACGTCGGCATTGAGATTAAAATCGCTGCGGCGATATTTTTTGAGTAGCGTTGTTTTTTGTTTTTGTTGTTTTTTTTTGTGGGGGGGAATGGAAATGGGAATGATTGCTTAGACGGGACTGAGACTAGAGCCGGGATCAGGTGCAGCTGCTTAGGCCACGTAGATGAACATATTAATGTCGTCATCGTCGCGCCTCATGTACTTGTGCTCGATGAGCCACTCCAGCTGCTCCTTGATCATCTTCTTGGACGGCAGGAACATGTTCTTCAGTATATCGATGAGTTCACCCTGAAACAGATTCATAGAATTGAACTTTGAATCTCTTGAATGGCCTAAAAGGCAATCCAACTACTTACCTGAAGCGCCGCGTTGTTCATCCGCTTGCGAACTTTCATGATCTTGATGATGGCCTCTTGAGTGCGCAGAATGCGCAGCTGCACAATGGACTGATTGTCCTCCTGCTGCGAGCGTTCCGTGCTCAACTGCAGGCGCCCTATGAGATTGAGCTGGGGGAATAAAAAAGCAGATTACGAAATGTCTACAATTAAACAATTATATGTGCTCACTTTTCCACGTCGCTGGGACTTGCCATTCTTGACAATGGCAAACTCTTGATTGATATAGAACATCGTGTTCTCGGCGAAATCCTTGGGCGAACTGATGGCCGACGGTTCCATGAGCAGGATCTGTTTCTTAATCTTGGGAAACGCCACCAGCGACCAAAGAGTACGCCTCAGTTCAGGATCTTCGAAGGACAAACAAAATGTTGAAACAGAGCCTCAAAGCTAATAAATAGTAAACCCTAACCTGGCAGTTCTGTGGCCAGGCGAAGATTCTCGTAGGAGATTTTATCGTGTTGCCGTTGATTCCAGGCAAACAGGACGGCCATTTGGAAGGTGGTCACATCCAGATCGTAGCGCCCAAAGTTATTCACAAAGGTGATGGTGCCATTGCTCATGTGATGATACCACTGCAGCTTGCGGCCGGAATGCTTCTTCTTGTAGAACTCCTCCACATCGGGTATGTAGTCCTCCAGCTCGATGGGCAGTGACACTGACACACGCTCCGAGCAGCGAGCCCAAGCGCCCGCGTTGAGTATTTTAATGTTGATAGCATCGTGCCGACTTATCGAGGTGCGGAATTGAGTATTCAGATCTTCGCTGACCTGCAGATTAAATAAAAAGGAATGTTAATTTTCTGAACTTGAAGATGATCTGGTAGAACCCACCTTAATGTCCTGGAACATGCGTGCTAGCCGGTTTACATAGTCCGCCGGCATGCCCACCTCGCGCAGCCACTCCACAATGTCCTCCTCCTTCTCACTGTCCGCACTGGTGCCCAGTATCAAGCTGTAATTTAATGGAAAGCGTAAACAAAGGTAAAATGGGAACAAGATTACATATTCATAGCCCATGGAATCATGTTGTTATAAAGCAAGTTTTTGTGTTAAAATATCAAAGAGCTTTCGATGTATATAAAGAATGTCCTATAAAACGTTTTCATTATACAAAATCTTTCTTGAACTTGATATGAACTTGAGTAACCTTTTGGGGTATATATTAATATAAAGAATTTCTAAAATAGCTTCTTACCGCCTCGTCAAGTGAACCTTGTGGTAGCGCATGAAGACGTCCTTGTTGTTCACGTATTTGAGGACCAGCAGGACATCACGGAGGCGGGCGTCGATCTGCTCGCTGGTGAGGCGTTTGCTGAGCGGCGTTCGCCGCAGCAGCATGTCGCAGTAGTTGGCCAGCAGTTCCGGGCATTTGCTCTCCGGCGCCGTGTATTTCACACCTCGATTGGCGATGCTCGTGGGCAGCTCCATTTTGAACACGCTGGTGTCGTTGACCACCGTCTTGAAGGCAATGTCGCGGGCTGTGAGGAAGCGGGGATCGTCGTTGAAGGCGTTGCGCACCAGGTCGCTGAACTTGTTGAACAGCTCTAGTAGCCGCTCTACGTACTTCTCCGAGTCCTGGGTGATCACCTCCGAGGCGGACAGCATGTCGGCCAGTCCGGCGGACATAATGTGCCGCTGCAGGTCACCCATCATGGCCTCCACGCCCACGCCATGCAGCACCCGATCCATCAGGCGGAACATGAGATTCAAGCGCTCCGTTTCATAATCCCTGATCAAAGCCGGACACTCGGCAATAATGGAGTTGAGATGATCCACTATTAGCACCTTGACCAGCGTGTAGGTGAGTATGCTGAAGCTGCTGGGCTCCAGATAACGCTTGGCCCTCACCTCCTCCTCCCGCAACTTGGAGTCGGCGTATTTCATGTAGGCCAGCACTCCGTTCTCCTGCTGCTGCTCCGCCGACTTGAGGCGATAGAACTCGGCGGTGGCCTTTAGATAGGCCATCTCGAAGTTCTCCCGGTAGATCTCCAGCTTGTCCTCGGCATTCGAGGAGAGATTCACATAGCTCTCGCGCACGCCCACCACCAGCTGGGCATCGTAGGCATCGCCATTCCGCTCGGCGTGCACTATCTTCATGGCCGACTCCTGCAGGCGGTGCTTGATGTCGTGGAAGATGTGCTTGTTCCACGAGTCCAGCATCAGTTTGCGCACCGGGCTGTCCTCCGTGGGATTTTTCTTGGTGCTGGTGGTGCTACTGCTCCCGCTTCCCGATGCCGCTGCAGCCGCTGAGCTTGTGGAGGCGGATGTGGAGGCTGCAGCAGCGGCGGCGGCGGCGGACGTAGAGGCTCCGGCGGCGGACGAGGTGGAGGCCCCCGACTTTCCTGCCTGATTGCTGCACGAACTGCCAGCTGCTGCTGCCGCCGCGGCACTCGTACTCGCTCCCGATGCCGACACGGTGGCGGAAGCAGAGGATGAACTGCCGCTGGAGGAGGGCTTAACCTGGGGTGACTGCTCCAGCTGGCGAAAGGGCAGCGGCAGGTAGTTGGACTGTGTGAAGAACTTGCGCCACTCCACAATGTAGGTGGCCAGGAGGGCCTGCTCGCCGCGCTGCGCCTGCACTTGACTTTGCGCCTGGACGATGAACTCGACGATGTCCTGCTGCAGGCAGTCGTAGATCTTGGCCGCGCCCTTCTCGTCCCACAGGCAAACGAAGTGGACGCCAAAGAACAGGTCCTGCCATTCGCGTTGCGACACCGTGTCCTGGCGCAGCAGCTTTAAAACTATCCGCCTCTTGTCGGGCCAAACTTCTTCGAAGATGTCCCTGTCCCGTTTCCCGATTGCCTGCCGCACAGGACAGAAATATAATCAGGGTATATAGTATATATGCATGTTGATGGTTCTCCCGCTGATCGGGTCACTTACCCGTAGCATTTTGATCGTAGCAATCTCTTTGTTTTTGTTGCTGGCTTCACTTCATTTATATTAGTTGTGATACCAGATTCTAAAAACATACAGCCCAGCCTATCGTTTAAAATTGTTTTGGCGATGATTTTGAAAATAACCTATCGCTTCAATTTTTATTTTCAAACTTTTCAACACTAATTATTTAAAATGAATAATATTTAAGAAAATATTTTAATTAGCCAGATATCAGCAATTGTTATTTAAAAAATATTTATTTTTAAAACTCCGATTGCCTATTTATTTTATTATACTGTGTGCAGTGAGCAATGTGAATTGATATCTTCTGACAAGTCTATTACATTCAAAAGCCCCAAAATCGTAACCGCAATAGTGTTTATTGATGTGTTTGCATTATTTTTTTGCGTTTGTCATATTTGAATAAAAGTCTGTTTCGTTTGCTAATATTGGCAAGTGTTGGGCAATGCGCGTGCTGAAAGTGCTTAAAAATCGAATTCCACTAACGACCTATCGACAGTAGCAGTCGATAAAAACAAAAAACAATCCCAATCAACGGAATGCAGCAAAAGTGCGGGAAATCTGCGGAAATGCTGTAACTCGCAAACAATTAGGGAAAGTTCCCCAGCTCCGCGATCGGCGACAGCCAAGTGGATCCGTTTAAAGTGTAACTGCCAAATGTTCTTGTCAATTGTTTTGTGAAATTCCCAAGTTTGCCTATTTCGTTTTGGTTTTTTTCTTCTCTACCTCTTCATGCGCGAGTGAGACAGAAGTAGTGTTCGCAACCATCGCCGCTAGCCATCTCGCTCTAGCATACGTCCCCGACCTAATGTCTGCGCGAGCGTATGTTTTATGTTCTCCAGGGTTGTCAGACTATTTCGTTTCTTCTAGTTCCATATTTTAAAATATCCCCAGTATTGCAAGCTTTAGTGATTAAAAATATTAACCGTATATATTATTTTGCTAATTTGTGCTAATATTTTAGAAATCTCAATTTTATTTTTAGTTCTCACAGACCTAAATGGCCAATACCAGCAACAAGTAAACAATAATAACACAAACAAAATTTAAGAGTTTAAAAAAGATCCTTAAATCGAATTTAATCATTTTTAATTATAATTTAAGTGTATTAAATTACATTACATAAAATATATTTTACGTCGTTAGAATATCGTTTTTCTATTACATTCCCAATGTTTATTTACAACCAGAAAAAATACGTTTTTGCAGACAAGTGGCAACACTAGTTTTCACCTTTTTTCCTTTGTGGAATTGTTCCGTAATACTAATGGTATCTTTGATAATTCAGGCTGCGGTCACACTACATTCACCATTTCTCTTTGTTTGCGGCGGCGGCGCTCGTTGAATCGGCCGTGCAAAACGAATAAAATCGTAGAAAATCGAGGAAAATGCACCAGCCCCGTGCGGCAATGTAAACAAACAAGGCTCAAATGAGCAAATGCAGATTAAGTGCTTCGATTAACCAGCAAAATGCGCGTAGAAAGGGAAATTCAGTGACGAAAACTACAACTACGTGCTGCTGCGTTCATTGACGTGACGCGCGAGCGTGAATGTGTGCGTGTGTGTTTGTGTGCGCTGGCTGCTTCCGAGTGCGAGTGTGAGTGATTCCCTATGTGTGTGTTGTTAAAAAAGCGTTTTTAAAAGAACAAGCCAGCAACAAACAAATCACCACAGCACGTCACAAATTGCAATAGAAGCAGCCACAACACCTCAAATCGAAAGCCCCCAACAACAACATCTGTCGTGTTCTCAGAGAGTGAGGAAAAGAAAGAAAGAGAGGGGCAAAAAGAAAATCAACAGTCGCGTGTGAAATGAAATTCAAAAAATGTCCGTGTGTGTGTGTGTTGAATGTATAGAATTGAGTAAGAAGCAGCGCGGCAAAAGGAAATAAGCAATAGCAACAGCAAAAACGGAACCAGCAACAACAACAAATAACCAATGAAGCAATCAAATTTGGCATAATATTGCATTAGCCGACGTTTGTCTCTAAAACCCCCCAAAAAACCATACATCACAAGCAGCACAAATCTTTTGCCAATGAGTCGCAGACAGTCATTGGATCGACCAGGTGAGAAAAAAATTAAAAAGGGAAAAAACCTCACTCGTAATCACGCTGAGTTTTGAGGGCGAGAGCATGCAGCATCAGATTTTGATTTTAAAATGCACTTTGCGCATGTTCTCTTCTCGCTGTTTTTCTCTCGCTCTCGCTGCTCTTCGTTTTTCGGGCTAAAAATAAACGCGCTCTCTCGAAACGCTGGCTGCGCAGCTGCTCCCAAACACTTGAACTTTGTAAACATCTCCAACAATCCAACCAATCGGTTATTGTTCAGTGACAAAAACCTGCATTTGAAAATTAATAGCTTAAAAAAAAACTAAATTACAAATATGAATGGAGGACAAGACAACTATTTTCTTTGCTTGCTTTTCACTCGCTCGCAATTCTATTTTTAACACAAATTTTATCACTCGAGCGGGGAAAAGAGAAAGTATCTGTCACTGTCTTAAGCAAATGTAAATGTGGCTCATATAACCCTCCTCTTTTAATGTGTGTGTGCGATTGGTAAGAAAGCAACTAAAAACCATAAAAACCAAAAATTCAACAGTTTAAGTTTGTTTTGTTTGTGTTTTGTTTTCGACAGGGCCATAAATATTATGGACAAAATAATTTCATGGTAAAAGCCAAATGAATAACAATAAGGTTGATAATATTTAAAACTTTGTTCATTTTTTTTTTTGATTTCTGCTTCTATTCTAGAAGTGTTTTTTTTTTCAACATAAAATCTTAGAGATCAATAAGATACTAGGTTCAAGTAAAAAACAAGAAATCTTTTTTTACACAACGAGAAGTATGTTTTGACAGATTTTTCACTGCCATGGTGGGACTGGGTAAATAATAATGGACTTAGGCTTTGCTGTTTTGCGTTGAGGAATGCTGTCCACTTATCAACTGCAATTAGCGTTGAATGCTAGTCGTGCAGCGCTTGGAAACTCAGACTGTCCGGCCTTCCTTTAATTTATTTATAACATTCAATGTAAACTCTGCTCAAGCGCCAGCCAAACAGCACAAACAATTTTCGATGCAAAACAAAGACAACAGCAACAAAAACAAGGGGCTGCAGTCGCTTTTTTATTATTTGCCGCTTTTGTAGGTCAGGGTTGTCGTGTGTAATGCACCCGTACAAAACGTGCCAGCAAATTGAATGAATAAGCGTGGCTACCGACAAACCGTCCATATATTCTATTGCAATTGCATTTACAACAATTGTAGGGTATTGCCACAAATAACACCCAAATAAATAAAGCGTAGAATCCCAAATTGCTGTGTAAAATTTCGCGTGATTTCCCACTGCAGCTAATAACCGGTTTAAGGCAGGTTAAACCACCTTGATTATGATCTATTTTATTCGCAAATAGCTTCCGTTTCCACTTAAATAAATGTAACAAGCCTGCCGCTTTATTTTATCTTGTTATAAATATAAGTTTTCCTAGTTTTTTGAAACAAAAAACTGTTCAGGCTATAATTATTATAAGGAAAATGAAATATTTCTACGAAAAAAAGATCGCAATTAAGGTTATTAAGATCATTTTTACAATAGTTCTTGACAAGCTGCGATTTCCCAATCTACACTGACCTTATTTCTACCCAGTACTGAGAATGTTATCGATATTTACACTGTTTACATGCGATACGAGGGTTAGCGGAGTTATACAAAGACGTGTTGGCAATGTTTACACTGGAAATGTTTTCCATCTACCGCTTGATTGATTGTTATTATTATTGCCTGGGACAAATCACTCTGGAATTTCGGTTCAAACTCGATTTAGAAAGCGGACCATAAGTTTACCCTTGGAATTCATTTGGTGTAGGCGTTGCGGCGAATCTTATTCGATTTGTTTTTATTGCTTCGATTTTCGCGCTGTCTTCTTCGCGTTGACTCGTGACAAAGAGTCATTAAATTCTGTTTAAGGTGAAATCGATTTTCCGGACCATTAGGCGCCGTTAGAATCGTTGCCTATTTAAATTTTCACATTGTTTAATTGTACTGCGACGACAGTTTGGTTCAGAATTATTTATTAATCAATAAGTAAATGAGACCTTATCAAGGTTACTACTCAGATTGTGTACTTTGTTGTTGTAAAACATTTCGTTATGTTGGCTTGTTTTATATCGGATTAACCAACTGATAAGCAATAACTTGTTGCTCACTTTAAGTGCAAATGTTGTTTGTGGTTTTAAAATTAAGGGAAACAAACAAACTGGTACATATTTTAGGGATAAATGATTTTGTTTACGAATAAGTAAACTAAGATTGTTGATACGAAAATGTGTAGTACATTAATTTCACGTTCTATATATATTTAATAAAAATCTTGATTAGTTTTGATGACTCAACCTTCTTTGGATGACTCGTCAGAGTTACATACATATATGCAAACTTAACTTTATATACGTATTTGCTTAAAAGCGCAAATGTTCGTGTTATAAAGAGCTTAATAAGAACTTATTCCTCGTGCCCAGTATTAAACTAGCTATAAATTTTATTTGCTTATCAACTGAGAGTTTTGTGAGCGAAGCACTACCGAGGTCTTTTTTTCTCTCACGATAATTTTCCAGCAATTTTTCTCTGGACTGGAGTTGTTATCAGTGCATTTGTTCTTTGTAGTGCCTAATTGTTCTTGGCTTTTTCGCATTTGTGCAATGATTTACGAGTGCCAGGCAAGGCCAAGAACACTGTTGGGCAATTCAAATTTTATTAGCATATAGAAGGGTCTCTAAAACCTCCTTGTCGCTATGCCAAGCATCGTCATCCTCGTCGTCGAGTCACATCATTAATCTTGGCACACAAAAGAGCCGCGACCTCATCTCGAAACGGCAAAAAGTTGGCAAAAGTTACCAAAGCAACGCATCCGGCTATTAGCTCCCCTCGCACTCGCATTTTCGTTTTTTCCGCTTTTCCTTAATGAAATTGCTTTGATTTCTGGGAAAGCTGGGAAAGTTTTCTCATCTAGCGTCGAGACTTGTACAGAAAATTACACGAATCCTTGCGGTTTGCCCTCTTTTTTGAAGTCTGACTCTTTCTTTGCCGAGTTAATAAAACTGGTTGTCGGCCGAATTTGTTTTTTGTTGTTTATATCTATTAATATTGTTGTGTTTACTATTTTGTTTTAAATTAAAAACCTTTTCAGAGACACACTAAAAAAATGTATTCTGTGTTTAATAAATATACAAGTTTTTGGAACTGCAAATAAAATAAAATAAAAACAAAAACGCTACGAAAGAATAAACTTGTAAACGTAGATGAAAGGAAAATGTAGGCACCAAAACTTAAAATTTACTTATTTATTTAAAGGTATTACAAAAAATAATTCCCACTAATTTAAAATTTGTTCATCAAAAGATTTTAAAAGAAAAATATGGTCTTTAAATTTGTGAAGAATTAAAAGCAAAATAATCGAATTATAGATAAAATGAGACAAATCCTTAGGGTTGGTCATTTGGCGGTTGAGTTAAAAGTTGACACATCTTTTTGGGGGTTAATCGCGCGCCGCTGGCTGCGATGTGTATCTATCTATTAAAAAATCGGGGCGAGTCGAAGTGGCCAAAAGACGATGTGGAAAACGACGACGACGACAATCGCGAATGCGCTCTCAGGAAATTGTTTTTGGGAGCACGTCGGAATTAGCGCCAATAACAACAATGGGCATGCGAGCGAGCCAGGCAGAAGATGAACCCTCGTGCGAAGTCAATTTCCCAAGTGAAAAATGAAAAATCCACAAAAAACGCTAAACAGTAGGCTATGCAAAAAAGTTAATTTTTAATAGAAAATATTTTTAAAAGAAGTCGATAGAAGCAACCAAGCCACAAGTTCTTTTAATTTCTTGTACTTAAAAACAATAATATTCAAAAATAAACATTTTTATAAGTATCGCAAACAACCACAATTTTTTTAAAAAATATAAATAATTAAAAATAGGGGAATCATCTTAAAAAATAAACAGCACATAATAGTAGGCAATACATACAGAACTTTTCAGGATGTCGCAGCCTTTATGTCGTTTATTGTTGTGGCACATTCGATATATTTCCCCCCAGACTAATCGACCAATTTCCGATTTTGTCCATGTATCATTCCAGCCCGGAATTTCTACTGCCGGTTCCTAACTGTGAACTGTGGCTGGGGTCATTACGGGTGCCAAAAGGGGGTCAGACGCAGGATGGGCATAAATTATTTTTGCCTCCCGTATGTCTAATATGGTGGCGACGGATATGCGGCTGCTATCCGCCAGTTAGACATACACCGTACAGCTGTGGTTGGGTGTTTAGGTACACTGTGAAATTTATAGTCGGCAAAAACTATTCATATTTTCAAATTTATGGTTATCGAAACTTGAGAAGTCAAAAAAACATGCCTTATTCGCAAGGGCTTCATACAAAATATTAAAACAAAAATATTATTTGCTCTTACAATAGAAGTGAATCTACATAATTTTTAATATAAAAGAAAAATATGGTCGAATTTTCCAAACCGGTACTGTGTATTGAGTGTGCGTTAGGATCTCACACCCCGTTAATCGATTCGGTAACAATTGTTGTGAACCAGTGTTGTGTTGTTTTCATTAGGGGTTATTCCGGTTTGATCTCAAGCAGGGCACGAACAATGGATACGGAATGGAGCCGGCAAGGAAGTTTTCGACGTCCCAAACCCCTTACTAAATCCCAATTCCAGACCAAAACCAGAGCAATACTCGTTGCTCACCTTCGTTCGCAGGACCAAAACACACACACACACGCACACAAACTAGCAGAAGGGACCTTTCCTCTCCGCGTGCGTTTCATCTGTCAGTTATCCCGTTTGTTTCTCCGCTTGTTATGGCTGCTTGCTGTGTTTTTTGGCTCTCTGGAGAGTCGAGAGTTTTTGATTTTCGACATGTCGCTTCTTCAACCCTTTTTTCAATGTATTTTCATGCATATGGCTGTTTTGTATATGTATGTATATATGCGTGTGGAAAGTTTTGCATTTTTATTATAGATAATTTGTGTACAGGTTTTTTTGCGGCTGCCGCGCA